ACATTGCAATGTACATTCAGAGGTGAGCCACTGCATAAAATCCCCCATTCATAATACTATGCAGAAGGAGATTTACAATCAAATCCATTTTATAATGCTGATGGAGAAATTTGTATTCATGCATGTGACGTAAGTAGAATGATTTCAGACCAAGAAAAATCTCTCCATCTCTGTGTGGTTATTATGAAGTCCCAAGAACAAGGGGAAGAAAGATATCTAAAATAAAACCTTTTCTCCTTTACACATATATCCAGCATTATATTATCTTCTCTTTCTCACATACATACGCTCAGACGCTGTCCCATCTACAACTTCTTCTGGTCTCTGAAGAAAGGTCTTCACGTCTGTCTTAAATTGCGAAAGCTGATCTAGCTGTCGGAGCTCTTTTAGCAGGTTGTTCCACGGTTTTGGTGTGGCTGATGAAAAGGTCCTCTGGTTGACAGTCACAGCTGGGTTCTGGCTGGTTGGAGTAACTGCCTCCCAGAGAATCTAAGTATGAAGGGCAGATTGTACAGGAGAAGGCAATCTTGTAGGTAACCTGGACCCAAACCATGTAGGATTTTAAAGATCTAAACCAACACTTTGTACTTTGCCCAGAAAAAAAGACAACCAGTGAAGTGACTTCACTATGGGTGTGATGTGCTCACTCCTAGATGTTCCCATAACCAATCTGGTTGCCATATTTTGAACTAATTGGAGCAACCTAACATATGCTATATTGCCAGTTCAACCTTGAGGTTACCAGCACTTGCACTACCATATTTAGTTTTTGTCTTCTCACCACCTCAGTGATCTAGAGGAGCAAAACTGGGGTTTTTAAACTGTCCCTACCCCAGAAGCAAAGCCACATTCTTCTGTGACATGGAAGAAGAGCTTTAACTTGCTTCGCATCCCAGTGAGATTAGGCACATCCGTTGGGCTGAGAACATTAAAGCTTCTCCTCACCACTAAACCCATCTGTATGGCCCCTGCGCCCAACATTGCTGGAGAAATTATACTGTTTAGCTGGTATTGCACCACCTGTTATCTGCCGGGAAGTAGCAGCCAGCAATGAAAGGACCAAAGCATTGACATCTCCGGCCCATCCTCTGTTCGGATATCAGCCAGCACGCCAATGACTTAAATCAAGAAACAACTTCCTAAGATCTACAGAGATATTCACAGGAACACCTCAGAGTCCAAAAGTGGCAAGTTAAAACCCAAAACCTCAATCAGTGGCTGATACCAGATGAGAAACTCCCTCTTGTGCACACAGAAGGCTGGGCGATGTGGATGCGCTCTGGCTCCACGAGGTGAAGAGCCAATCTTAAGAAATGGGGCCACAAAGTAGAGTCCACAACATGCGAGTGTGGAGAACAGCAAACCACAGACCATTTACTACAATGCAGCCTGAGCCTTGCCACATACACAATGGAGGACCTTCTCACAGTGACACTAGAGGCACTCCAAGTGGCCAGCTTCTGGTCAAAGGAAATCTAACATAATGCCAAGTTTTGAACTCAGAAAATGGCATTCATAGGGGTAAAGGGCAGTCACTATATTCATTATTCAGATTTCTTTCCTTTTCTCTTGTGGACTTCTTTGAAACAGCCTTGCTTTCTAATGGAAGGCAAAGCTGAAGCAATATATTTATATAATAAAAATGTCAGCTGTATTATTTTTTTTCCTCTCCTCACAAATCTTAGCACAGATTTTGCACCCCACTCACAGTTGTAATATGTTGCCAAATGTTATTATTGTCACCAACATTGCTTTTATAAACTGTATTACAAAGATTCCCCAGGCTCTCATGCCATTCTTGACAAATGCTGATTTAGCTTCTTTAGGGTTTTCTGGTCTATCTGTTCAAAAAAGCTCCAGGCACTTCTTTGCTATCTGAATTCCTGCAAAGAGGAGTTCCCAGATGTTAACGAAGCATTTGCCCCTATAACAATGCACCAGTAATTATTTGTGAGCATATGAGCACCATCTGAATAACAAATCCATATGCTCCTTAAATTAGCACAAATGAAATAGGGGACAAAACCAACAAAGCGACAACAGATATATAGAGTGCCATCTGATGTTGATTTAAATTCTGCATTTGGTATTCATTTTGCTCCCACTATTCTGAACAGGTAACAGATTGGGTACATTGTTGATTCTGGCCAGAGGAAACAAGAAGAAGCAGAGACAGCATTGCTTTCTATTCCAAGAAGGAAGTACAGTAGATTCACGCTTATCCAACATAAACGGGCCGGCAGAATGTGCATAAGCAAAAATGTTGGATAATAAGGAGGGATTAAGGAAAAGCCTACTAAACCCCAAATTACATTATTATTTTACAAATTAAGCACCAAAACATTATGTTTTACAACAAATCAACAAAAAAGTAATTCAATGCATAGTAACATTATGTAGTAATAACTGTATTTATGAATTTAGAACAAAAACATTGCAATGTATTGAAACAGCTGTGGATCTGGACGGGAGGCAGATTGCATTGGATAATACAGATTGTTGGATGAGCGAAGGTTGGATAAGTGAGACTCTACTGTATTTAGAAAATTTGCAGCAGAACAAACGTTCATGTAAAAGAGTCCATTTCATCAGGTGCAAGTAATATGGTCTCGAGTCCACATGAGCTTAAACCAATTCGCCTGAGTTCTACAGCACTTCATTCATGTGTTCTCGCAGACTTGCCCCCCTTTTTAAACCTCATTTTAAACAGTTTGAATTTCAAAAACAGCTTGGTATTAATACAGGTGGATTGGTATATTTTCTGCAAGGCCTCCCCTCATTCCCTTTGTTGTTCTCTCATTCCTGATATGAAGCAACTGGTCATTTGGAGCTGGCAATGCAGCTGTTGCCCTTGGTTTTGTTTTGTTTTTCTTTTGTCCCAGTTTTGGGAACTCTGTTAGAAACCCTGGTTCCAAGACCTGTACAGAAGTCTTTTTTTATGAGCGCCATTTCAATTTTAAATTTCCGTGACTAATCATTGTTAGTGTCCCGTTTTCCACAGTGAGATGCACACTAATCTTGGGCATGCTCTCATCTTTAGGCTTCGTTTGTGTTCATTTTTCCAACTCATGATTTACAAGTGATTATTTTATAGAGACATTACATTCTTTCATTCGGTGTGCATTTGCTGTAGCCTGTTACCAAATCAAGTCCTCTTGCGTTTTCATGAACCAGAAAAAACATTAAATCATCAAATTGCTAAGAAAGGTTTACTAAGATTAAAAACATATTTACAACATACAGTAAATTAATTCTACTTGTGGAGCATAACCATACTCACAACCTCTGAGGATGCCTGCCACAGATGCAGGCGAAATGTCAAGAGAGAATGCTTCTAGAACATGGCCATACAGCCCGAAAAACCTACAACAACCGATAACCATACTGGTTAAAAATACTGAATACCTATTTAGAAATAAGGAAGCACTACTGAAAATTCCTCAATTATCCCCTCCTAATTTCCTGGTTGAATTTCCTGTTCCAATATTCAGGAAGAAAGATGAGGTGGACAATGGATAATTGTCATCTCCATAATATCTAGCACAACTAGGAGAGAAAGCTATAATCTTCTGATTGGTCCACATAACCTTTTAATGTTTACATCTTTCCATTGAGATGACCTGTCAAAGAAATAAGGGAACTGAACTAACATGGAACCGGTTGATGTAACATACAAAATGGCAGTAAACAAAGCATGAACTCCAGTGTATCTTTGAACCCTTATCTGGCCTGTGTGTTTTGCCTGTCAAGTTTTGACTTAGAGCAAAGAGAAAGTAGTTTGTTATATCTTCATTTGAGTGTTGCTGTAGTGCCATCTGGCGGCACAGTTGTTCTCTGGTAGAGAAAGTTTTATCTTACAGCACCACATCAATGACTATCTCTAATGAAGGAGAGTCCATGGCTTATTTAAATTGCTTAAGACTTTAAGGAGGTGTCTAACCATTGTTGACACTTTTGTTTTTAATTTTGGCCCATCATTTGAAAAGGCACAAGATTTTTCATGGCTGCTTCAGCGAGACATATGGCCAAGGCTCTCAGTTTATTTATACTGACATAATTTGCATTTCAAATTTACAGGAGAGGAAAGACTCACAGAGAATACATAGAAGTGAGAAAACAATGACATTGTCAGGAGTTTTGAGTATAAGAAAAAGTGACTGGACTAGTTTTCAAAGAGAAAGCAAGTGGGATTTTCCAAAGGGGCTTCCTTTGCTTGCTCAAATGGGAGATGGATCAATTGGAGTCTGTTTTCTTCACTTGCCAATTGTGCTGGAGAAGACGCAGCAGGAGACGCGCTACCTCTGTTGTGCACCTTCTGAAGCCCCAGAAGATATATTCCCTTTCTCTTTTCTGATATACTTTTCTCCACTTGGTAAGCCTACTGGAGAAGGCAGAAAAGAACACAGTTCTTACCAGTTGCTCTCTGCCCATGTGATCCTCTGAAGAGGAACTGTTTAATGCCAGGACATCTCAAGTTAGGCAAGCTCCTTGGAGATCACCCATGATTGCCTCTTATGATCTCTCTATCTTAGGAAAGGTAATCCCTGGTGGTATATGTTTTACATCTCTTTAAAATTGGTGGTGGGTTAAGAAAATAAATGCTATAATTGCTACTACAGCTCCATCCTTTGGTCTCCAGTGATTCCCTAGGAAACAGACTCTTTTCTTTTATTTCAGCCTCAATTTACATTGTGAGTTCAAGATGGCTTTTTGTTTACCAGCAACTGGACTGCAGGATGTAGTGGAATAAATTTCACAATGTACTAGAAAGATGTTTTATAGTGTACCACACACAAATGTATGTTGTCAGAACATTCATGTGGAACAGCATTAACTATAGTGGACATTTTGTGTAATTTCCCCAGTGACTCTATTCCCACCTCCTCCCAAGAATATGCCATTTCCTTATTCTATCACTGCAATGTTTTAATCTAAGGGATATTCCAAAAACTGTAATACTATTGCTACTCACAAACGCATTCATAAATGGACAACAGTCATTCTATTCCAGAGCAGTTTATTCTTTTAAAATGAGCCAAGTAAATGCAAATTCTTAAAGTAACATTAAAAATCATAATGTCTCTTTGGCAGCTGTTTTAGTATTTTGGTTACAGAATGGGTTGGCCTGTTATTGACCACTGTAGAAACCTTAAGGGTGTTAGCCAAACTCTCTGAGCAAGGCCTTTGTTCCTCTCATCTAGTGCAAAGCTTCATTTCTGGGCCCAATCCTTACCCAAGTAAAGACTATGTCCACAAAAGAATTCTAACATTCTCAAGTTCTTCTTCCCTCCATTGCCGTGCCCACTTGGTCTTAGCACACTCACTTCCTTCACTTCTGAGCAGCACAATTTTTACCAAGACCTTGGGCTTTGTCATAGACCATGAAGAGTCCTCTTCAAACAACCCTGAAGTTCTTATCTATTGTCTCTGACCTCACAGCTTCATGAGACAGGCAAGATAATCCTTCCGCTTCTTTACTCCTGCCCATGTCTTGCTTTTGACATGAAACTTCAGCATCTCTGCTTTGAAGTCTTGGTGACGCATGGGACAGTAGCTCTGGGGCTCACACAGTTCCTGGAAGAAATGGAAGTGTTTCAAAAAATACAATCTGATGTGTGCTTAGCATCTAGTGAGCTCATCAATAGAAAAAATGTTCTGCAACTTTAAAAGGTGAAAAATACACTGAAAATACAAGTAAAAGGAACATGAACAGGACCTGAACATATAAAAAAAGTTGCATCCCATAATGCTGTCCTTTCTTGCATCTCATGTTCCCATGTTGTAATTAGCTACCCAACACTGTTCTTCATCTAACCCCCTACATTCTTAATCTGTAACGAAGCATGAAGAAGAACTATCATCACCATCAGGTTAGAGGGGACCACAAGGGCCATCTGGTCCAATTCCCTTCTGCCACGCAGGAATACCCACTCAAAGCATTCCTGGCAGCCTCTGTTTAAAAGCCTCCAATCCACCACTCTCCAAGGCAGTGCATTCTATTATCAAATAGCTCTTACCATCAATATGTTCTTCCTAATGTTTAGTAGTATGTCCAGACCTTGTCCAGACCTTGAATCGGTGCCTAGCTGCTGTGTCGGACTGGATGAGAGATAACAAATTGAAATTGAATCCAGACAAGACAGAGGTCCTACTGGTCAGTCGTAAGGCCGAACAGGGTATAGGGTTACAGCCTGTGTTAGACGGGGTTACACTCCCCCTGAAGACACAGGTTCGCAGCTTGGGAGTGATCCTGGACTCATCGCTGAGCCTGGAACCCCAGGTCTCGGTGGTGGCCGGGAGAGCTTTTGCGCAGTTAAAACTTGTGCACCAGTTGCGCCCGTACCTTGGGAAGTCGGATCTGGCTACAGTGGTCCACGCTCTTGTTACATCCCAAATAGACTACTGCAACGCTCTCTACGTGGGGTTGCCCTTGAAGACTGTTCAGAAACTTCAACTAGTCCAGCGAGCGGCAGCCAGACTACTCACCGGAGCAACATACAGGGAGCACACCACCCCCCTGTTGTGCCAGCTCCACTGGCTGCCGGTTCAGTTCCGAGCACAATTCAAGGTGCTGGTTTTGACCTACAAAACCCTGTTCGGTTCCGGTCCAGCGTATCTGTCCGAACGTATCTCCCTCTACGTCCCACCCCAGAGTTTGAGATCAGCTGGGGAGGCCCTGCTCTTGACCCCACCACTGTCACAAGTGAGGCTGGTGGGGACGAGGAGCAGAGCTTTCGCAGTGGTGGCCCCTCACCTGTGGAATTCACTCCCGGGGGAAATCAGGGCATCATCATCCCTCCTCTCCTTCAGGAGGAGGGTGAAGACGTGGTTATGGGACCAGGCCTTTGGGCAATCTGGCAATTAAATAAGACAATCAGACAAGTATGACCAGCAGGATTGATGAAGTGGAATTGAAAAGGAGAACTATGAGTTAGCGAATGCTGACCGTGTAGGAGGAGGAATTGGGTTTGTATTGGTTTTATTGATGTTATTGATTTTATTGGTATAATGTATGAATTGTTGTTAACTGTGAGTTTGATACAATTTTGTGTTTTGATTGTTCTGTGATGCAGGCATCAAATTGTGCCTTTGCTTTTGTAAGCCGCCCTGAGTCCCCCTTCGGGGTGAGAAGGGCGGGGTATAAGAACCCGAAATAATAAATAGTAGCAGTAGTAATTGTCATTAATATTATTTCTTACCCACCTCTCCCATGGTTCAAGGTGTGGAACAAAAACAGATTAAAATAGTAACACATAACATTAAAAGCGTAACATCTGTAAAACAAATACACATATATAGAAAGAGGCAGTCCTATAGGTAACGTAGACCCAAACCATATATAGCTTTAAAGGCAACAACCAACACTTTGTAAATTTTCCTAGAAAAAAACTGGTATTTTGTAGAGTGGTTTTAATATTGATGTTTCAGTGACCAATCTGGCTAACATATTTTGAACTAACACAAGTTTCCAAACTTGGTACAAAGGTTGCCCAATGTATAGTGTATTGCTGGTCTAGCCCTGATGTTACCAGTATTCGGACCATCTTCTTTAGACCCCTTCAGTTTGAGGAAGGGGCACAACTAGTGTAGCTGCTGAAGCTGCTAAGAGGCACTCCTCGACATCCCCTTCAGGTGTACAACACAAAGTTTTCAGTTCTCCAAAACTCTTTATGTACAAGTTTTCTACACAGTACTACTACAGTAATTTACGCAGCTATTAGAGTTACTTTTCTAAGGTCTGATCCCGACCAATAACAGCTGGCAGAATCACAATGGGGAACATTTTTATTTATTTATTTTACTTGGGGGCTAACATTTAGTAAGAGATGGAAAATGCCCAGCAATGTGTCTGCAGTACCAACACAGAAATTAAAATTAAATTATGTAACATGTATTGCATCATCACATCTGGGGCTACTTAAGCATATCTTCTGTTCCTCCCCAGTAGCATTTTGACCATCTTCCGACCTTCTCCGATAGTATATCAATATATCTCTGGTTGTACTGATCCATTTAGTTTTCATGGCAAGAATACTGGGGTAGGTTGCCATTACGTTCCCCAGGGATCATATTTAGTCTGACCTCTCTGGCAAGACCTTCCCGTCTTGGGTGTCCCTTCACTGTTTCGCTCATGGCATCGAGGCTGCGATGATGTTAGCCAATTGTAAAGGTTGTACGCCAATTGTACAGGGCTGCCACCAATTTGCGATGTCTGCACACACCAGTTGTACAATTGTGCCAATTGCGAAGGTGCTGCAATTCCAACAACAGACAGGGTATTGGGTTTTTAACTTTAAAGAACCCACCCTCTGTCACCAATTGTATAGACTGTTCTTAAATTCTGCCACCGATTATACAGGTGTGGATGATTATGGATGTAATTAAGGTAACTGCCACCAACGTGAGGTATTGCCAATGAGAACTGGCTCTCCAGACGCAGATAAATGGAGATGACACAATCTTCAACAAAACTTAATAAGTTTATTTTGTACAAAGCGTATGGTCGCAGGCTGTTAATTAACTTGGAATAACTTAGAGAACTTTGAATGTAACTTGGTTTGCAAATACAGTTCACACTTCTAGATGACACAACTTGTGATTGACTTTTACTGTGGTGAAGCACTTTCTTAAACAATGTTTCCTGAGGTGAATAGCCTTCCTATTTGATCCTTTCATGATCAAATCCTAGATCTCTAGTTCTTCTCTAACTAGTGATCTAAACAAGCTTCCCTTAGTCCTCTCTGACTAATGAAACGAATTAGGTTTCCCCCTTCAGCCTTCCTAGACTGAAGAAACCTCTGGCTATTCACACACACTGCTTCTCCACTCTCCACTCTCCTCTCTCAACGGTTAACTCCGACTGCTAACTCCCAACTGCTAAACTGAACTGCTTCTTTTCAAAACGCAGATAACATTCTCTTGCTAGGCTCCGCCCACTTCTCATTCTCTTGCCTGGTCTCCTTGGCAACGCCACTGTGGATACAACCAGTTAACTCTAGCTTTCAGCTACTGTTACCAACACAAACATATTCTAACAGTTAAACATATACACAGTATCAATAACTTCTGTACAGAGGCGCTCAATCTCCAGCACCATGGCAAGGCAACGATCCTTTGCTGGAGGTATTGTGCATACAGTTGGCTTTAAAGACTACTCGGAAATTTCATCTTGCTCAAAAGAATGTAAACTAGGGTATGTAGTCAGGAACATTTATCAACAGTTAATGGCTTTCCATGTGATTTCAGGAACAATTCAAAGGAGCCCACTGTACTCTGGATTACAATATCTGAGGACTGAACAACCCTGCCTCTTCCTTCTCAAATTTTTCAAGAGGTCCACAAATATAGCCATTATTACTGACCCAATTAACTAACCCTTTAAAGAAGAGCATGTCTTTCAAGGATTAGTTAATTGGGTCAATAACAATGGCTATATTTGTACTATTTGTGGACCTCTTGAAAATCTTACAAACCATATGTTTAGCTATAAAAGTCATATTTTTAGCTATACATAGCTCCCAAAGGCTTTCTGGCTTATAGAGTTCTGAGATGTCGCCTCTTTGGGAAATCACCCTGATGAAGCATTTTCAGACAATTGGGTACAGGTGACATTCTGTATTGACATCCCTGCTATGGACGGAATATGCCTTCACCTTCTGCTTGTAGTCCATCTGAATAAATGTGGAATTCCAAATTAATTGGCTAAGTTTTTTAACTAATAATAATTGGGAAATAAAGGCTTATTCTGGTTTTATCTATACAGTGTAGAATGATGTTTTGCCACTTATTTGGATTTATTATTACAAAGCACTTTGTTAATATTTTGACCTAGAGAACAGAATAAAAATGTTTGCCAATGGAAGTTCAAGTAACACAAACTATGAGTATAATCATTTCTCTGTTTCCCAAAATAATGGAATTATAAGACACGCAAACCATTAAAACAGGAGTCTTCTTGTTACCTTGTATGCTAGGAAGAAATCCTTGTAACCACCTTGAAGGAGATAAAGTTCAGGGTAGTGTAGCGCAGGATATTCATTCATGCCTCGGTCTTCCTCCCTCAAATAGCGGCACCTTTGAGCAAACAAAAAGCCATGAGGAAATTATACCACATAGCAAATGCCCTCCCAAATCATCCTTTCACATCCTCTTAGACATGATCCCCTCCAGTGCTTTACTGGGGCCCACACTCACATCTTGGGTCCCCTCTCAGAAGAATATTCACAGTGGAAGACAAGGATGAGGCGCTTCTGTGGTGCTGGCGGGAGAAGAGGCTTCTTCAGAAAGAAATCAAAGAGATCATCTTGCCTGTGGATATTTAAAGCCCCCTGTAAGTGGGAGACAAAGAAGAGAAAAAAAAATTAAAATATAGGCTCTCACGCATTCCTTGAACAGCATATGAATCCTTTACCTTGATGTGCCCCCCATGATACTCATAGGGGTAACGACAGTCAATGATGAAAAACTTCTCTATGAGGCTTTGGAACTGATCATGTATCAGAGCAGCCATCTGTAAGAAAAGCAGAGTAGTATCCAGCTTTAAGTAGTCAACTTTTGACTTTGTCAGAAATCTGTTGTGTGAATAAAATGGCTGACTGTGGGAGGGTGCTGGGGGTGGTGAGGGAAAGATCAATTTATGCTACTCTGGGTTCATAAATGTTAGAGAAAACTACCCAAAAATATAGCAGAGCACCCAAAAACGCAAACAGAATGCTAATAGTTGAGCATTCAGTCCAAACTAGCAGAGTGTGAAGTGCCATGTGATGTGGCTGTAAAGAATTTAGCACTTAGACGGGCAAAGATGCAAAGTCCTGTCTTTAAAAGTCACAAAAGGTTTATTTACAATTATAAAAACGAACTACATTTCTTAATAGTTAAGAACTGGGTCTGAGCTACTCTAACGCCCATCTCTTCTAAGTTCTCAGAGACAGGGATAAAACACCAATCACTACATCTCTCCTGACACACACGCAGAAAAAGATCTCAAAGCACACAGCACATTCTCAAAGAGGTAAAAGTAGACATCAAAAGTAAAGGCTTGCTGTTCTACACAACTAATCAAAATGAGAGCAGACACAGAGAGGAAAGAAGAAATAGATAAATTCCGACTGTCATACAGGAGACATGGGGAAAGAAAACCTTCAGCCTATTCTAACCTAACTAACTTGTTTCTCATTGAGGACTTGAGACTTGAGCAGTGTGGGGTTGAATCTCAGCAATAAAAAGGCATTCAGGACAAAAGTGAAGTGGTGTAAGTATAGGCTGCTATTTTCCCTGTCAGTATATGCTTGCCTATCAGAAACTAAGTCAACATTTGTGGGCAAGACTAAACGTAGGCTGTGATTGAGCTGGGACAATTTAGATAATACACAACTGAGTATTAAACACAGGCTTTTGAGGTGAGAGCCACAGGGTGATGGGCAGAGTGACTTCTAGAATGTTATAGAAGGAAGTGATAGCAACAGAAAGAAGTGGAGATAGAGTTCAGGTAATGTGGAGGAGAGAGAACAAATAAGTGGGGCAAAGGATACACAAAAGAGGAGAGAGAATGAATGAATGGCTTACAGTCTCAGAAGTGATGTATCTCAGGTCCTGATGCCTTCCTGATACTGTTGGCAGTGAATATACCTAAGAAGAAAACCACATTCAACTGTTGACTCTGCAATAACTCCAAGGCCTGTTTTTATTCTTCCGAACACTACATAGATGAACTCTAAAGCCAAGACAGTAATCCCAGGTGCCTTTCATAGAATCACAGAGTAGGAATGGACCCATAGGCTATTGATTCCAACTTCCTGCTCAATGTAGGAGATCCAGCTACAGCATCCTAACAGTCTCTTTTTGAAGACAATGCAAGAAAGAGACACCAGCACCTCTCTAGGCCATTGCTGAGCTATTCTGTCAAAAATATTTCTAATGTTTGTTTAGCCAAGGCATACTTTCCCCGGACTCACTGAGAATATTTCTGAAAAAAACTTGAATGTTTGAGTTGCAAGTTCTTTCTGCAAAAATATTGAAAATATGCTTTCGACTTTCTCTCCAAAAATATCCCCCAGTATTTTGAAATCCATGCTTCACTGCATAAAGCTTGCAAAACAAAATACTAGAAAATGTGGAATAATACTTTTAGTTTGAAAACAAATATCCCATTAACAGAATAGCAGGGAGTCAAAAGGAGGAGTATATATTCTTTTCAAACATCTATACCCCAATTCATATGGGAGTCATTCTAAAAACAATGTTATTATTAAATTAATAAAATAGGGTGCAGGACAAGGAGGCAGAAATGGAGCATCATGACCCTCCTATCCTTGAAGCGAGCAAAAAATCCTGCATCTTCTGCATCTAAGGGGTGTCTTACATTGAATTGCTATTTAATGCTCATCAGAACTACTTCGTCTCTCCCCCCCCCACTTTCCCCCCTTTTTTGCTGAACACCAAATTAAGTCATGCTCCAACCAAACAGGATACCTTTCATTCTCCTAATGTTTGGTCTACAACTCCCATCCATCCCAACCAACACAACAAACGGTAAACTCCCTTAGGAACTAAAGCCCAAGACAAATTAAAGGCCCCAAGACTCCCATCTCTAGATTAAAAGAACAGTGAACGCCTACTATATCCAGTTGCATGCAACTGGACACTGTTTGAAGTCATCAACAAAGCTACTCTTCTGACCCTCTCCCCCCACCAACCCCGAAGGTCACAGGAGCCAGAAAAAACCTACGTACATTGGAGAAATCCCCAATCAGCTGTCTGAAGCTGGAGTCTTGATCAAGTGCTTTGACAATTTCAATGTCTGACAGGGAGGCTGTCTTCTTCAAAAACATGGTCTATAAAGAAATGGTCATCAGCAACATGAAAGCAAAAGAGTTCCTCGCCACCTACTTTGTATGGACAGAGGAAGAAAGATAAATCAGTGGAAGGTGGGGACTTTATCCTGGCAGGTGTGTTTCCAACAGCTTTCAATGCAGCATTGAGGAGTTGCCATTCTGTTTGCCACTAAATAAGCTCCCGCACACAAACCACAAGGGTATCTTGGAGGTTCCCCTGTTTGGTGGCTGCAGTAGTGGGATAAGAAGAAATCAACACAGTGGAATCAGGGGTGGGGATAAGTAGAAGTCTTCATATGTCTTACCCCATCTGCCTCTTCTTGGATTGTACTATTCTTCCATTTCACCTTGGAAGCCATTTGATCATCTTGGGCTTTTATTACCCTCTTCAACATAGGTCTGTTCAGTTTCTCTGGCAGTGATGGTGATCGGAAGAGGCGGCTCTTGTTCAATGAGACCTGCTCAGAGTAGGGTGCAAGCAGGAAAGGAAAGAAGGACAGGCCTGAGGTATGAAAACCCTTGCAAGTGTTGCAGCCCAGCCACCTGGATGATCCCTTTTCACCCAGACATCACACAGTTCAACAGTAATGAGTTTATTAAGAAAGGAGTACATAAAACGTAATAGTTTCAAAATAGTGCAATAAAGTCTCTAAAAATCGTTTAAAATAAGCAAACTAAGCATGCAAGAAAGTCAAATCAAAGGCCAGCTTATAAAAGTGGTATCCAAGTTATTGTACATTCATGAGCTAGATATCAAGAGCTTGACGAAAGGTGAAGGCCCATTCTGAACATGAATCCAAAAATCACAGAAGGTAAGACAAGAAACGGTAATCCCAAGGTGGTGGCACTCACAAAATGACTATAATTCCAAAGGCTTGAAAACTTGAAACAAGATTTGTAATCCAAACAGGAGACATGCAATTTAAACAGGAAAACAAGATCCAAAAACCAAGAACCAGAACACCTGTCTTGGCGCTTTTGACAGGCAATTTGATACATGAAATTCCAACACTGATCTCTACACCAAACAAAGCCTCAGATTCCTTAAGAAGTCTCTCTCTTACCTAAACATCATTCTTTCCCACACTAGGCTCCCTTTGTTTATCTTTCAGTCTCTGAGAACAACAAATCTGTCTCTGCTTCACACCCTCCCGTCTGAGCAATAAATGCTTGGGATATCGGTAACTCTCAGGTCTCCTCCACGTTCCTTTCACAATCAATCCCTGGGAGACTCTCATGAGAAACACAATCTGTTTCCCTGACAACAGATCTACCCAAAACACCTCAAAAAACACTTTTGCTTTCCCCACAGAAGTAACAGGCTCAAACAAAAAATCCTCAACCTCATCCTCAGAGGCAGAGGCTCCACAGGCCTCAACAGCAAGCCTCTCACTCAGTTTACAATGTTATTATACATGGGGGCAAAGTCAGCTGCATCAGAAGTTTAGTTTATGGACATGATTAGCTAAATCAGAAATGGGAAACAAGTAGCCTCCTGTCCATGTGCCGTTTTGAGGAGGGGAGGAGGGCAACACAATGATAGACAGCATGGTGTAGGTGTGTGCCATTATACATTCTCCTGAATTAAGTGAATCAAATTATTTGATTGAGTCTCCCAGAGAAGTTTAACAGCCACATTTCCTCAACAACCTTGTAAGTAAAACCACAGTTTTAGTAGTCCACAGTATCTATGTCATTGATTTCCCTCGGGATCAACTTGGAGGGATTTTACATGTCTAAGCAAATCGATTTGCTATGTAGAAGGTATGAGCTTATACTTGCCTCACTGATATTGATGTCCTGGGTGAGGAGAGGTCCAGACAATAAGGCAGCCATGCTGGAGTGATGATGCCCAGTGTGAGGCCTCTAAGGAAGAAGCACAGAACACAATAAATCAAAACACAGAACCGATGTAGGACAGCCAAATGCAAGAAAGGACAGAGCTTCTGCATCTTTAACAGTTGTGTGGAAGAAGGAATTTTGGCAAGTACAGCAGGTATGACAAAGTACATTTTCTCTGAAATCCTTTCTTCCATAGAACCATAAATAATCCTTTCCCCTTTTTGCATTGGACCTCCCTAAATCTAAGGAAAGGTGCATAGTTCTGAATACAAAAGATTGTATTATAATAGAATTGTATTGTGTATTGATATATTGATGTAATTAAAAATGTCCAACAAGAATATAATGTACCCCCACAAAAAATGAGCATTTTTGCGATATATAGTGGAATAACAATATTAATCCTTCAACCAGTGAAAATACATACAAAATAGATTTGGTGGCTAAACTTTCTTTTTAGCTTTCTGAACCTCAGTGCTCAAAAAATTGAGAAAGATTTACGTGCTTGAAGTATGTGGTCTTCTACAACTGTGGAAGCTCAAATGATTGTAAAAAGACTTCTTGATAGAGACAGATCAATAGATTTGAGGCCAACACCACAATCCTATTCTTTACTAAACCTGGGAAACCATGCCTATTTTAAGCTTCCCTTTAATTTTCTTATTTTACATTTGTCTTATGTTCAGAATGACTACTTCTGCACTTTAAATTTGACAGAAATATCATTTAGATTGGCATCATACAGCCTGTTAGTTTGCCTCCCATAAGCCGTAGGATGTTGAGGAAGCGCTTCTTATGCCTTTGGTACACTGGCATGAAACTCTTTTGATATATAGAACAAATGGTTTTATACTGGCAAAGAGACACAAGGAAGAGGCATTATGGGGAGCAACAGGGAACATCTTGGATTCACAAGATCCAAGAAACCTTTGTCATTCTAGCATGCCATCCTATCTAAAGCTCTCTGTATTCATATTTACAACTTTGGAGAAGTTATATAATGGCATTGGTATTATCCAAGACCTACTTCTTTGATTCCCCAAGTAGCACAAATGCCTACAGGGCAACCCTGTCATTCTCTCTTCACCTCTGACTCTTCCTGATTACTGGGATACATCTCTGGAAAGCTGTCCAGGCTATCTGGAGCTCTTGCCGTTTCCACTGAAGCAATTGGACTGCCAAGGTCTTTGATCTCTAGGTCCCCAGCTTCCTGCAAGAAGAACAGAACCCACAGGTGACCCTCCGAGAGCACCCCCTAACCCACCCTGCTAGAGACAGATGGCCTTGATAACTCAGACTTGCCAAACCCTCCCTTGCCCCACTTGTGTAACTAAGTAATTCCAGCCATCCATCTCTATCTATCTATCTTTCTATCTTTGGATAGCATAGGGAAGAGTTAACACTCCTGTGGTGTTTGTTTTGCTGTCTGTGTTCTTGTTCAGACTATTTCATCTCACTTTCCGCCCCTGTGATAATTAGATTTTGAAAAAAAATTGGTTTGTCATGGAAACAAGGATTGGTGAGAAAGTTTCAGTTTTCTCACCCCAGTTCTTAACTATGAGCCATTTGTAAGTTGGGTATTTGTAACTCGGGGACTGCCTGTACTTGATATTTTCAAATGCAGTTATTTTCAAACAGTTAGTAAATCATATTAACTCACCAGCATTGCATTGTAACTGGCCAGCTGTGAATTTGGTAGTCTTTTCCGGAACAACAGGGACTTTGGCCATCCTAGATGATCATACAGTTTGCCTTCCTAAGAGGATATAAAGAAAAAAGAGCACTGATAATGAACTCCTACACTGGAGGCAAGAGCAGGGAAAATTCAGGGAGGAACTGGGGCAGGGGTGGACAACTTGCTGTCTTCCAGGTATTTTAGACAGTGCAGATCTCACCATTAATTATGTTGGCTAGGGATGAAGGGAATTACAGTCCAACTTTATCTGAAGGGCTGCCCTTTGCACTCTCTCCTGAGCTGGAGGCAAGCATGCCTGCCATGACACAGAGGAAGTGCCTAGATTCTGCAGCCTTTGGGTCCTCACAGCTGTTTGGCCTACAATTTACACATACATATGAGAAAAATGTTACTTAAGGTCACTGGTACTCACATTCTCTTTGATTATGGAAGGACTGCTGTCCTCCCCAGTTACACAGTGAATTCCATGCGGGAGGTCTGGGGTGCTGCATCGTACCTGGGGCTGAATGGCCAGAAGCGAAATGTAAGAATGCTTTGTGCACATATAAATTATGAACTCCAGAACAGAAACAACTGGTATACCTGGCTCTGTGTAACATGATTTCATGGCCTGTCTGGAACCTGGAAATCAGCATATGTTGCTACTGTTATGAGTCTTAATATGACCCTATCAAGATTTTGGCAAGAGGTAGTTTTTGCCTTCCTCTAAGGTTCAGTTTGGACTGCTTAAGCTCAACCATTGGGTTTCCCAATAAAATGAAAGCATATCCAGTCCACGATTTATTTATTCAGATTTACACCCTGTTTCTCTCACAGAAGTGGGATCCATTCTCTTCTCACAATTGCTAATTTTGCCTATGGGATGCCTACAAGAAGGATACGAGTACAACAGCCCTATAGCTTTCGTTTGTACTCTCAAGCAACTGCTATACATACTGTTTCTAGTACTTGAGATAATTGCATTTCCATCATGACTGGTAGTCATTGAGAGCCTCGTCCTCCATGGATTTGTCCAGTCCCACTTCAAAGTATTCCAAGTTGGCAGCCACTCCTATATCGTTTGGTAAATAATTTCTCTGTTTCATTACACACTGTGCAAGAATCTATTTACCCAATGCCTAGAAAAGAAGGAATTCTCTCATTCTTCCAAATGAATCTAATTCTAACACCTGTAGGTCTGGGGCTGAAGAAATAATATAAAAATAGAGCTCTGGCGCCATCTACTGGCCAAAGGAATACAAGCACGTGTTCCAGCAAAATCACCAAGTATAAGAATATCAACTTGAACTGAAATGGATTTAAATACTTGTTCCTAGCTCAACACCTTATTTTGGCTTCAAAGAACACACCTGCCTCCTTTCCGCCCCATAACCCACACTCCCCACTTCACTTCTTTTTTTCCTTGTCTTGTCAAGCTTGTAAATATCAGGACAGCGCTTCTCTTTTAATTTATTGGGAGAACACAATTGTTTGAAAATAGGGTAAAAATACAAGTAGGAAATACATGAATTCAAGCAAACTCAAAATATACTCACTTGGAACAGCTGCACACCTTGCCTTCTGGAGCCTTTGCTGAAAGGAAAAGAAAAGATAACCAGTTAGAGTGGTTGGAGTTGCCTTCCCAGTAACTGTTAGGGCTGCTCTGGAAAGACTCCACAGAAGACCTAGAAATCAATTTACCACCCACTCTCAAATGTATTAACAGAACAATTACAATGTGATGTCAAAGGCTTTCATGGCTGGAATCACTGGATTGCTGTGAGTTTTCCGGGCTGTATGGCCATGTTTCAGGAGCATTCTCTCCTGACATTTTGCCTGCATCTACAGCAAGCATCCTCAGAGGTTTGCAGGGTCTGCTGGAAATGAGGCAAGTGGGGAATCTGTGGAATATCCAGCGCCCAAACACGAATCAAGGAACATGAAAAGCACTGCAGACTAATTCAACCTGAGAAGTCAACCATAGCAGAGCACCTGATGAACCAACCTGGACACAGCATATTATTTGAGAACACAGAAATGTTGGACCACTTTAACAACCACCATGTCAGACTACACAGAGAAGCCACTGAAATCCACAAACATATTGACAATTTCAACAGAAAGGAGGAAACCATGAGAATGAACAAAATCTGGCTACCAGTATTTTAAAATAGTCTAAAATCGGGACAGTAAATAAACCCTCAAAAAACAGGGGAATTCCAGGCAAGAATAAACCAGGGCTAATCACCTTCCAATGAAGAATTCCCCCAGGCTGGAAGCAGCCAAGCTTTGAAGCTGCAAGGCTATTCAATGCTAATCAAGGTGGCCAATTGCAACATTCACACTTGCTTCAAACAGACAAGAGTTCTTTCTCCCACCCTGGGCATTCCACAGATATATAAACCCAATTTTTATAGTTTCCAACAGACCTCACAATCTCTGAGGATAAATGTGGGTGAAACACTAGGAGAGAATGCTTCTGGAACATGGCCATACAGCCCAGAAAACTCTCTGCAACTCAGAGCAACTCCTGCTTGTTTGTTTAGCCTGAACTATTTTAGCTGATTTTTAAAATCTTTTAATTGTGTTTTTAAGTATACCTTTAAATCATTTTAATATTGTCAAAAATGTAACCTTATTTAATGTCCACTTTTTTGTACATTATGACCCCCAGATCCATGGGACAGATATCCACTGTATCATTATCCAAATCCAACAAAAGATGTCATCTCTAGTCATTTTCCAGAACACCATGAATGACTCTATGGTATTCTTGACCCTTTGGTCCTTAATTTCGATTCTGTTCAATAATATCCATGGATCCACATATCCACACAAAGTCTGGGAACATATCCCTCATGGACATGGGATGGTACGATATGTTTTAAAATTTATTGTGTTTAAAATTGTAAGTCTCATTGAGTCCCAATTTTAGGAGAAAAGGTGAATATTAATACAATAATAAATATAACAATGATATCTCGAGTTGATGGTGGCACATGAAATAAAATCCAATACTCAATTTATTCTTATGCTGACTAACTTAGCAGAAAACAAGCCCTCAGTAGCACAGGCAACTGTGGCCTTTCAGATATTTTTGGACTGTTGCTCCCACAATCCTTCACTAATGGCTATGCTGACCAGCAATGATGGTAACTGCATTTACACAAAAACATCTGGAGAGTCATTGCTGCCCACCCCCAGCTAGGCTGATTCTGCAGGTGCCATCAAAGTGATTTTCACTGAATGTTAGCCATAAACTCTGATGAACAAAGCAACATTGATTAGCAAAACATATATGGAATCAAGATATGCTCTAAAATGTGTAGGCAGATCTTACGGTTGATCCTGAAGTTCTCCTGAGTCCTTCTGATCTGCAACAGGATGGAAAGAAGTCAGCAAAACAGCAAAGGAAGGAGTCAGGAGTAAAATACAGCTGATGGGATGAATGTCAAAACAGTGCCTATGTCTACAAATGCAACTTGGTATCCTTCAGATGTTCTGAACTATACGTCTCATAATCTCCAACTACTGGCCGGATTGGCTGGTACTGTATTTAAAACATCTGGATACTCCTAGGTTAGCTATTTATTCATGGAATTACCAGGGAAAGCAAGAAAAAGGACAGCATCAAAGAAAGCTTACTGGTGGTTCACATCTCACCTGAAGAGTTTCAAATACATCTGCAAACTATTTACTGATAGACAATGGTATAAAAGTAATCCAAAACAAAGTACTTTGCTGAAGCTGGATTTTTTTTTTTTACAATATGCTTTGAATAGAAAGAGGAAAGTGAAGGCTCTAATTCCTGTGGAAAGTCACATTGCCAGGATTAGGCAGGAGATTAAGAGACTTATGTTGACCTTGAGTGTCTTCAAGTCATTTCTGATTTATGGCAAACTTATCACAGGGTTTACTTGGCAAGTTTTGTTCAAAAGATGTTGAAAAAAATGAGCTGGTTGACAAGACTTGTAATAAGAAAATATATTACCATTAGGTACATCTACACTATAGAAATAATAGTTGACATCACTTTAACTACCATGGCTCAATGTTAAAGAATCATGGGACTTGTAGTTTGCTGAGGTACCATCACTTTTTTGCTGAGAAGGCTAAAGACCTTGCAGAACTACAGCACCCATGATTCCATAGCACTGATCCATGAAGATTAATGTGATGTCAAACTGCCTTAAATCTTCAGTGTAGTTGCAGTTATATTTATTGTGCAAATGATTAAATAGCAGATAGTATCAGAACTGTGTTTCTGGAAGTGATTATTACCATTTTCCAAAGTTTTTGAGGACTGGCTGAAGTTGAAGGCAATTTCCTCGTCCCCGTTACTGAGATTGGAAAGATCTAGGCAGCGTCTTGGAGTGTCCCTGCAAAAATATAGTGAAAGGAATAAGTAGATAGAAGCACAGTGTATAGAACTCCAGTATGTTTTGGCTCTGGCAGTGCTGAACCAGAACCTAGGTTAGGAGATCAAGTGTCTAGTTTCCACTGGCCCATGGGAGTCACATTTGCCAATCACCCTGCATGAATACCAAAATTTGTGGATCTCAAGTTCTAGTATATCAGTGGTTCCCAGCCTGTGATCCGTGGACCACCAGTGGTCTGCAAGAACTAAAGTATGGTCTGCCGTCTCACTATTACTACACTGTTGCAATGAGAGCGACTGGTCTCGTGAAACCCTCTTATAGTACCGAGGCTTATTAAATATGGTTTTCTGTGGGTGAGCAGATGTCGACTACTGGATGGCATATGTTCTGTATCAGAACCTAGAGCTGATGTGGTCTATCCAATGCAATTTTCTGAATCAGCACCCCAAATAACCAAACCAAATCTAAAGTTGACCAAAAACTGATTTGTAACCCTTTTGGTACTAATGTTGGAGAATGGTCCCTGGTCAAAAAAGGTTGGGAATCACTGTATTATATAAAACGGCGCAGTAAAATCAAGGTTTATCTAAAATGGCAAAATCACGATCTTGGAACCTGTGGATGCAGAATCCATGTATTTTCCATTCCACATAACTGCCCTGAACATATTTACCCTCCTAGTGTGCTGAGGTTCCCAAAATCCCACGTTATACTCAAGACTGGAGTAAGAGGTAGTTGTGGAGAAAGAGGTGGAGAGATCTCTGATTCCCGGAAAGTATTAAGCACCGTCCTGCAGCCAGATCGAAACCCAAGGTCTGAACGAAGCACATCTGCTTCAGTAGGAGGAACGCTTTCCGACATGATGAGCAGACACCTGAAGACAGACATATACACAACTTACTATTACTCCTTTTTTCCCTACTACAGATTGAGCATCAAAAAACCCAAATCCTCCAAAATTGTCCACACGGATGGCTGAGACAGGGACATCTGTTCTTCTTGAAACAAACTTTTTCTCATGCACTAAATTAGCAAAAGTAATTCCCTTGACAGTACATTGTTCTGCTCCTTTGACACCATGTAAGGCAAAATACAGTGGGAGCATCCCTTGTCAAAAATTTCAAAATCCTCTAAAATCCAAAAAGGCCCACCTGGGTGGCAGAGATAGTGACACCTTTGCTTTTTCTGACACTGGTTCAATGTACACAAACTTTGTTTCATGCACAGTTATTTTTATTTTACAATAATTGCATATAAAGTTCCTTTCTGCCTATGTGTGTAAAGGTACATATGAAATATAAATGAATTTCGTGTTTAAGTTTGGCCCCCGTCACCAAGATCTTTCATTAAAAGGTAAAGATTGTCCCCTAACATTATGTTCAGTCATGTCTGACTCTGGAGTGTGGTGCTCATCTCCATTTCTAAGCTGAAGAGCTGGCGTTGTCCTCCAAGGTCATGTGGCCGGCATGACTGCATGGATATTTCATTATATATATGTAAATATCCTAAAATATGAAATGCTTCTCGTACCACGTATTTCAGATAAGGACATTTCAACCTGTATAAACAGAAAGAAAAAGCACAAGCACTAGAACCACGAATGCATCTATACTGAGCATGGGCAAACTTTGGCCCTCCAGGTGTTTTGGACTTCAACTCCCACAATTCCTGGCCTTAGGCCCTTTCCTTTCCCCCCCTCAGCCGCTTAAGCATACCCATCTATACTATAGAATTAATGCAGTTTGACACCACTTTAATTGCCATTCCTCAATGCTATGGAATCATGGGAGGTGTAGTTTTGCACACTTTTAGCCTCCTCTACCAAGAGAGCTGGTGCCTCAACAAACTACAAATCCCAGAACTCCATAGCAGTGGTCCAGGAGAATTAAAGTGGTTTCAAACTGAATTAATTCTAGGTGTAGGTGAACCTATATCCAGCTACAAAGATAAAAGGTATTAGATGGTCGAAACCCACCTTAAGGGGTGTCAGTGGTGCTTTAGAAAAGTCAAACCCGTTGGATCTTGTCCACTAACAAGGCAGGCGGCTGGCTGCAGGTTCTGCAATTAAGACAGCAATACGAATTGGCAGCCCCCAGACCAGCGCAGTCTCAACAAGTCCTTCAAAAAACACCCCCCCCCCCCAAAAGGAACCCCACAAATTGTGGACAAACTGACCCGCCCCGCCCTTCCCGTCGAGAACACAATTGAATGTCAGACTATTCAATTTGCCGCCCTAACGTCAACCAATCACAAGCCACGCCCTCCGCCTTCTCAGCCAATCAGCGAAGCTCGGAAGAAGAAGAGCCCCGGCTGTCCCTTCAACAGCTTTCTCATTGGTCCGATGCTCGCAGTGACGTCAAGGAGGAGGGCGCGCGGAAAAGCTTATTGGAAGAAGCCGCGGTAGGCGGGGACTTCCTGATCCTTTTTGTTATTTTTCGGCGGTGGAGGATAGCCAACCTGATCCCGTCCAGCCAATCACTGAACAGAGGACTTACCTAACCCGATGCGATTGGTTGGAGATGCGTTCCAGGCTCCGCCCTGCCTTTCACAAGGAGGGAGATTTAAACCGTGGAGGTGGAGACAGACTCCTTAGAACTACGCCGGTGATGTTCTTGGTGGATGATGCAGTGTGCACGATTTGGGACTGAGAGCTGGGCTCCCGGGAGCAGCAGGTAACAGACTATGGAAGGAGAGGCTGCCTAGCAGTCCTAAACAGGGCTAAGGGAAGATAGTTATTTATTTACATTTGTATGCCGCCCTTCTCACCCGGAAGGGGACTCAGAGTGGTTTACAAGATATATATATATAGATACATAGATACACACACATATACATATACAATTATTAGCATAGTACAATTTCAGTATTAAATATTACTATATTGTACTACACCATTATACTTTGGCCACATCATGAGGAGACAGCAAAGCTTAGAGAAGACAATTATGCTGGGGAAAGTGGAAGGCAAAAGGAAGAGGGGCCGACCAAGGGCAAGATGGATGGATGGCATCCTTGAAGTGACTGGACTGACCTTGAAGGAGCTGGGGGTGGTGACGGCCGACAGGGAGCTCTGGCGTGGACTGGTCCATGAGGTCACGAAGAGTCGGAGACGACTGAACGAATGAACAACAACAACATTAGTAATTACATGTAATATAAATATTTAATTATAATATCATATTATTATAATTATGGAGAAGAGCAAACCACTGACCACCTGCTGCAATGCAACCCGAGCCCTGCCACATGCACAATGGAGGACCTTCTTGCAGCAACACCAGAGGCACTCCGAGTGACTAGATACTGGTCAAAGGACATTTAATCAACTACCAAGCCTGCCAATTTTGTGATTTGTCTGTTTGTTTGTTTGTTTGCTTTTGTTCTGTTAGAAATGTAATACAATTATCTGGTTGCCCCTGACACGATAAATAAATAAAAAATAAATAAATAGTAGTATATTGCATTACATTATATTATTATAAATATTCTGTTAGTCTACATTATATTATATTATACCGCCCTGAGTCACCCATGGGCTTAGAAGAGCAGTATATAAAAATGGTAAATAAATAAATGAATAATATTATATTAATGTATTCTCGAAGGCTTTCATGGCCGGCATCCCTGGGTTGTTGTAGGTTTTTCGGGCTATACAGCCATGTTCTAGAGCAGGGGTCCTCAAACTAAGGCCTGGGGGCTAGATGCGGCCCTCCAAGGCTCCCGCTCAGGGTCAACCTAAGTCTGAAATGACTTGAAAGCACACAACAACAACAACAATAATCTCATGAGCCAAAAGCAGGCCCACACTTCCCATTGAAATACTAAAACGTTTATATTTGTTAAAATTGTTCTTCATTTTAATTATTGTATTGTCTTAAGTGTTTGGGGTTTTTTTGCACTACAAATAACACATGTGCAGTGTGCATAGGAATTCATTTTTTTTCAAATTCTAATCCAGCCCTCCAACAGTTTGACAGACTGACCTGGTCCTCTGTTTAAAAAGTTTGAGGACCCCTGTTCTAGAGGCATTTTCTCCTGACGTTTCACCTGCATCTATGGCAAGCATCCTCAGAGGAATGAGGTCCTCACTACCTCTGAGGATGCTTGCCATAGATGCAGGCGAAACATCAGGAGAAAATGCTTCTAGAACATGGCCATATATCCCAACAAAACCTACAACAACCCAATATTATATTATATATTATATTATTAGCATAGCACAGGAGACAAGGTGGAACTGCCCCCTGCCCCCCTCCTCTTCCCTTTTTCCCCTAGTTTTGAGGTGCATCTACTCCAGGCATAGGCAAACTATTATTTATTTATTTATGATATTTCTATCCCGCCTTTCTCAAACCCGAAGGTGACTCATGGTGACTCAGCCGCTTAAGCGGCTGAGGGGGGAAAGGAAGGGGCCCGAGGCTGTTAGGAATGATGGAAGTTGAAGTCCAAAATACCTGGAGGGCCCAAGTTGGCCCAGACCTGATCTACACTGTAGGAATAAGTGGAGTTTGAGGCCACTTTAACTGCCATGGCTTGATGCTATGGAATCATGGGAACTGTAGCTCAGTGAGGCTCTAGAGCTCTGTTTGGTAGAGAAAACCTAAGATCTTGGAAAACTACAACTCCTAGGTTTCCATAGTCTTGAGCCATCGTGGTTAAAGTGGAGCCAAACTGCATTAATTCTATAGTATAGATGCACACATGTGCCCCAAATAGCCTTAACCTGTGATGCCTTTGGAACTTCAACTCCCTGAAGTCCCAGCCAGTTTGGCCTATTGTCAGGGATTCTGGGAACTCTAGTCCAAAATACCTGGAGGACCAAAGAGTGAGAACCACTGGTCTAAACTGGACAATTGGGTTTTAGCAGGGGCTCAAAATAGTAAATGTTTGTCTTCTAGTTGCAGGAGAAGAAATGTCCTCTAACTCTGGCTAAAGACTATTTGTGTATTGGGAGAAGAACCTAGCAGTAATCATTTGAAATTCTATGCCCCACCTTTTCAAGTAGGAAGTGTTTCATTTATGGGTAGTTTCTGATAGCAGATAGTGATTTCAAATCAGGTGCATCTTTTTGAAACATCCTGCATCTTAAACAAGCACTAACTTGTGGAAAGAATGGATGTAAGAAGCTCCTCTGCTCCTTTCGGACTAATTCTAGTTTTGCTTTTCTTAACAGCATCATTTCTCACCATAAGGATGGTTTACATTTAAGGCTTTGTTCCTGTTATGAACAATATAAAAAGTGGTGAAAAGTTAAAGTCTGGAAATTGGCTTTTCAATTTTGTTTTTATTGTCTGGACCAGGGGTCCACAAACTTTATAAACAGAGTTTTTTGGCCTAGAACTCCCAAACATGAATGCCTATGCACACCGCACATATCTTATTTGTAGTGCAACCCCCCCCCCCCACACACACACTTAAAAACAATACAATAATTAAAATGAATGATTTTTAATATAAACTTACTAGTATTTCAGTGGGAAGTTTGGGCCTGCTTTTGGCTGATGAGATAGGATGGTTGTTGTGGTTGTTATTGTTGTTGTGTGCTTTCAAGTTGTTTCAGACTTAGGTTGACTCTGAGTGAGGGCCAGGTAAATGATATTGGAGGGCTGTATCCGGGCCCCGGGCCTTAGTTTGAGGACCCCTGGTCTGGACCAACACAATATCTGTGACTTGTTACTCATTTACAGGAAACTGCTTGGATGATCATCTTATGCATTGGGTGTTCATAAAACAAATTTCTAACCTTAAGAGCTGCAGCTCACTGCTAGTATGTCACCTGTTTTTGAAATAGACTAGAAGATCACCAAAATAGGGGTAGGATGAAAAAAAATGATGAATATTTGTTGTTTGCCTTCAGGTTCTTTTTGACTTATGGTGATCTTATCATGGGGTTTTCTGTGGCCAAGAAGGGAACTGAACTCTGGTCTTCAGAGTAATAATTCGTAGGTGATCAGTTGTGGCGGAGTAAGATAGTCTTCCAAGGGTAAAGTCTTGGTGGTGGTTCCATAACTGACTGTAGACACCTGTTCTGGATGCTCATGGTTGTTCACAACGAGGACACAGATTTCCAGCAGGAAGGCGGTCACAGCAAGGGTTTGCTTGATGCACCTTCCTTGGTGCATTTCTCCTTTTCTCTTTCTGTTTGAACCTCATTGAATTCACAGCACTGTTAGTAACAAGCTGACCTCCAGTCAAGGAATGCTTGAGGACCAGGGCTTCCCAGTTTTTTGTGTTTGTTCCACATATTTTTAAGATTAGCTTTAAGCCCATCTTTAAATCTTTATTTGCTGTCCACTGACATTCTGTTTTCCATTCTTGAGCTGAGACTAAAGTAACTACTTTGGGAGATTGTGACTGGGTATTCAAACAACGTGGCCAGCCTAGCCAAGTTGATGGAGGAGGACCATCACTTCAGTGCTGGTAGTCTTTTCTTCTGCCAGAACACTGACATTTTCTGCCTGTCTTTCCGAGCAATTTGCAAGATTTTTTTTTTGAGGCAATGCTGATGGAATCTTTCAGAAGTTGAGAGTGGCATTTGTAGACGGTCCATGTTTCACAGTAAACGGTCAATAGCTTTGTAAACAAGCATCTTGTTCTCCCTACAAATGTCCTGATCTTCAAACACTCGTGTTTCATTCAAAAACTGCAGCACTTGCAGAGCTCAGACAGTGTTGCACTTCATTCCAATGCTCAGACCACTCTAGGTTCATAGACCACTTCGCCATGCTGAATATAGCATGACCATAAACATCAACAAAGCCCCTCTTTGGCTTTGGTTCTGTTATGTGCCTTCTAGTCACCTGTCAACTTACCATCACCCCATGAATCTCATAAGGTTTTCTTAAGGAATCCTCAGAGGTGGTTTTGCCAGTTCCTTCCTTTGAAATAGAGCCCACAACACCAGGCATTGGTAGTCTCCCATCCAAGTATTCATCAGGGCTTGCTCTGCTTAGCTTCCAAGCTCAAAAAAGATCTGGCACCTTTAGGATATTTGGTAGGTTTGCTTAAATGTATAACAGCCTTGGCTGCCAAATAGAAACTGGCATACCTGCTGAAAATGTTGAAGCAGAGAAGGTTACAGTTATTGATTTTAGCTAATAAATACGTTCAGGAAATGTTTGATGTTTCAGAATTTTGAGTTGGGAGAAAGAAGTACCGTATTTTCCGGCATATATGACGATCCCCAACTTTTCCAGTTAAAATATAGAGTTTGGATATACTCGCCATATAAGACTGCCCTTCTTCCAACGTACGCACTTGCTGCTTTCATATAGTCGCCGCATACGGCGGGGATGCAGACGCAGCTGTTTTTGAGCTCCCCCAACCATATGTGGCGATCGCAGATTCTCCATTCCAGCTTGGAAGTTTCAGCACCTGCCCTATAAGATGACACCTGGCGTATAAGATGGCCCCCGACTTTTGAGAAGATTTTCCTGGGTTAAAAAGTAGTCTTATATGCCAAAAAAAAAAATACAGTACCTGTATTTACCCCAGTCTTAATTTGCCATTGAATCTAATGCGCACCTCAATTTTCAAAAACGTGAAACCAAAAAAAGGATTTGTTGATGAATGTAAGGTGCACTCTTTGTAAAATGGCCATTGCAGTTGGTGCCTGCTTGGACTTCCTTCATTAAAAACAATTGTGTTGAAACACCGAAGCTTCCAGTAATGGAAAAGAAAACCTTGGTGCATCTATGCTGTTGAATTAATGCACTTTAACTGACTTGGTTCAATGCTATGGAATCATGGGAACTATAGTTTTACAGGGCCTTGAGGCTTCTCTGAAAAAGAATGCAGATGCCTCATCAAGCTATAAATCCCAGGATTATATATAATTGAAACATGGCAATTAAATGAGAGATGATGTATCTCAATTAGAAGTTCCAGGTGTGTCTGAAGCAGCTTCCCCCTTTTGCTTGGCTCAGCACCAAGATTACCCTATTACACGAATTTAATGAGCACCCTAATTTTGGCAAGGTAATTCAGCCAAAGAAGGTGAGCATTAGATTCAAGTGAATACAGTGGTAGGATTAATCTTGAATGAACTAGCAGCTCCTTTCACTCTTTAAATCGTGGCACTGGTTTGTTAAAACAGTTACACTATATACTGTCTATCATAGTAAATTTCTGTGTTATTTAACAATTAATACAATGAAATACAAAGGCAAAGAACTCAGGAAAATTGTTCAAGTAATTCAAACCATGATGGCCTAAATATACAAAAAAGCAATGTAATTTATTTCCTATTTATTTACTATATTTATATATATCGCCTTTCTCCTCCCTGAGGGGGACTCAAGGCAGTTTACAACATACTAAAATTCAAAAATTCAATGCCAACATGCATGTAAAAAGAAAAATCGTAATAAACACTAACATACAACTATAAATTAAAGCCATTAAATCATTAAAACATAAGACATAAATAACATTAAAACATTAAAACAAAAACATCTTAATATAAATATTAAAATCACATGATCCAAAAATAATTCACTATAATCGTTCCGATTGTCATTGTACATATTTTCTAATTGTTCTTCTAATTGCAGGATGAATGTAAAACTTTACAATCATCCTGCAGCAGAATAGAACACTATGTTTCATGATAAAATGTGATCTCAAGATGTATGGTAGATGAGCCCATATTAATCTATTTTTTCTCTTCCTCTAATGGTTTGCTGTCAGGAAAGCAGCCAAGAGATTGGTCAGGGGTTTATAATTGTTGTGCTAGAGAATTTATAACACATGACTTGGTCAATGATGCACGAGACCCTAAAGCAGTGGTTCTCAACCTGTGGGTCCCCAGGTGTTTTGGCCTACAACTCCCAGAAATCCCAGCCAGTTTACCAGTTGTTAGGATTTCTGGGAGTTGGAGGCCAACATATCTGGGGACCCACAGGTTGAGAACCACTGCCCTAAAGCCTATCCATATTTGCTGTCAGGAAAGCAGTCAAGAGATTGGTCAGAGGTTTGGTATAACTTGTGGGGATGCAAAAAGTACTCTGATTCTTTTTAATGGTCAGATGATCTATAAAGGTGGTCTCTTTATTAGAACAACTGAAGAGTCATGACCATACCATGGGAGTAAACAGGGTATTAATGCAGACTAGCTTGATGCATTTGGAAAGTAATAGAAAATGGAACAACGCATCTTTTTTGTATTCCATTAAATGCCTGCATAAGTAAAGTCCACAGAAGCTTTGTACTGATTTCAGTTGGGAAGAGATAAAAATTTATTTCACAGTTTATAGTTTGTTTCCATGGAGTTTAAAACAGCCCATTCTGATCTCGATATGGATCTGAAATGTAATGCTTCCTTTGCTGTGGAGTTTCATCTGTTAGTCCCTAGAGAGAGCTTTTGCTGCTCAAAGGATTAATGGGCTCCCAATGCCTCGGTCCTCTCTCTTTTTTGTTTCTGAGGAATAAGTGCTGTTTGTAAATTCAAAAATCTTGTCATAACAGTAGACCATGTGCAGGTTTTTTTTTGTAACTTTGGATCATAGCTTGGAAAAGTTATTTATTGTATATCTATATAAATAAAAATGTAATGTTCATTTGTGGGATTAACATAACTCAAAACACTGGGCGAATTGACACCAAATTTGGACACAAGTCACCTATCAGGCCAACGAGTGACCATCACTAAAAAAATAATAATTTTGTCATTTGGGAGTTGTAGTTGCTGGGATTTATAGTTGACCTACAATCAAAGAGCATTCTGCACCCCACCAATGATGGAATTGAACCAAACTTGGCATACAGGACTCCCATGACCAACAGAAAACACTAGAAGGGTTTGGTGGGCATTGACCTTGAGTTTGGAAGCTGTAGTTCACCTACATCCAGAGAGCACTGTGGACTCAAACAATGATGGATCTGGACTAAATTTGGCACGAATATTCCACAAATGGAGTTTGGGGAAAATAGACCTTGACATTTGGGATTTGTAGTTACTGGGATTTATAGTTCAGCTACAACCAAAGAGCATTCTGAACCCCACAAATGACATAATTGGGCCAAACTTCCCACACAGAACCCCCATGACCAACAGAAAATACTTAAGGCCATCCAGTCCAACTCCCTTCACCAGGGCAAGAAAATGTAATTGAAGGCCTCCTGACAAAGAGCCATCCAGCCATACATATTATTTATTTATTTATTTGCTTTATTTCTATTCCGCATTTTTCAGCCCAACCAGGCAACTCAATGCGATTTACATATAGATAGATATGATTCACACACACACACACAGATATAGTATCATAGATTTGAAAGGGACCCCTAAAGAAGTACAATAATATGTTGCCTGTTCCAGAGTAGGCAAACCAGACAATTTCCACATCAGCACTGACAAAGAAACAAGAAATACTGTTTACCCACAAGCATAAAGACATTACATATATTAGAAACCAATACTTTCTCCTTACTTTATTTCCAGATCAGCAGACTGAGGCCACAGTAACGCGTGGCAGGGGATGGCTAGTTTATTATATTTTTATTTGTTCATATAAGAATGTAACATTGTCACAGTCATCTTTACAAAAAAGAATCCCATATATTCTCAAAGAATTCTGATGATTTCTACTACGGTACTTATACCTATCCAATTTTTCCTTTTCCCTCTTCTTCCCTCCCCACCCCCCTTCCTCTGGGAGCAATTGTAGTTCTGCTCTATGTATTATTTTATTTGTTCGATCATGAAGTTTGCCCCGTTCAATTCCTTGTATGTATTTTCCTTTCCCTTACTGCTAACATTACTCAGCAAACGTCACCCCAGGCTGTGGTGGCTGAGGATTCTGGGAGCTGTAATAAAAAAGTAACTCTCCCAAGCCATAATCTAGATTTCAGAAATGCTTGATATGCTTTATAATAAAATAAGGTGGATTAAGGACCACCTTAAAATCATGACTACTAGACTGAGTTTGTAATAAGCTGACTTTAACATATTTTTCCATGGTGTTTTCTTGGGACAGACCTTCAACTCGGCCCTTCTCTCTTGGAGTAAAGATGGTGAGTGTGGGTGTGGGTCCGGGTCCAAGCCCAGGTTTGAAACAAAGCTCAAGGTCCATGTGAGTATTATTAAAACTGCTGCTATATTTCACCGAGAGCATTGTTTCAATTTCTAGTAGTGCATCTTGGTCCTCCTCTGCAGGTCTAATGTGGAGACAGATGAATCTGTTTTGAAAAGGAGGCAGAAGCAAATAGATTATGGGAAAAACACTATTGGATACCAGTGCTTTGTCCAGGAGGTTCCCAAGTGAGCAATGCTTGTAGCTTATCTCAAATTTTTTATCTTTGCATAGCAGAAGTTTGAAACTTGCAGCTCTTCTTTCCAATATGTGATGGGGTCTGATACCTTTTCTCCTTGAATCCTACCACAAGGACTTGGCTTTTGGCACACTCATTTCTGTATCTTACCTTAAGGGAGCTGTGAAAGGTATTTATCAACTTTGCTGGGTTGCCACTTCAGGAAGCCCTCATGTGGACTGCTTCATTCCAGGGCTACTCGGCAGTTGGGCATTCATCCATGCACGCCGAATAAATACAAGAAATACAGTCGCCGCTCATGGGACATGCAGATCAAGTTGTGGCGAAGGGCACTACATAGCTGGGACCCACCTGGACTTGAGAGGGAAGTATTTGTCCATTTTTCTTTCTGCTTTACAGGATAATAGTTTTGACATAAAAATCGGGTTCACACAGCTATGTACAAGTCCAGTGTTTCCACCCAAACATTTGACTTGTCAATGGAATTTGTTAATCGACCGGCTTGTACTTAGTCTCAGTTCCATTTTAGGGAGAACTTCTTTTATTGTGCAGCATTCATTGCTGGCAGCCTGGTGACCCATTTATAAAGTAATCCTCACACACTATTCAGGAACCGCAGGCCTAGTCTATATATGCACTCTCCCTGGTATTTCTTATCACCATGGAGACAGAGTTAATTGTCAACAGAGCTGTCGTGTTCCTCAATGAGAGCAAATGGTTCTTGTGCCATTAGAGCTGGGTGTATTTTGTACCATGGTCTGTGAATTCCCCAGGTGCGGTGGTCATGTGTACGTGGAAAGGAGGAAATAATACAAGTGGGACATTAAAGTGAGGAAATATACATAATCTTCAGTTGTTCATGCGGGGACATGAGAGAAGCCTCCCACAAGGATGATAAAACATCAAAACATCCGGGCGTCCCCTGGGCGACGTCCTTGCAGACGGCCAATTCTCTCACACCAGAAGCGACTTGCAGTTTCTCAAGTCACTCCTGATACGACCAAAAAAAAAGTCGTTTAAACTGTTACCTGTTTTCCAGCAACTAGACCACAGAGGTTTGGGGGTAGGAAGAAGTGTTTGGTTTTCCCTATTTGGGTATTAGCACTGATAAAAAGGGAAACTCTGCACCTCTTTCCCAAATTATAGGGAAAGGAAAATGGCTTGCTAGCTTTCATTCTGTGTCAGGGTGGAGAAACCTTTCCTGTCCCCTGACAATGGTTACATTGCTTCAGAGGTGATTTTTCAAAGGCTTGTTGAAATTGAAACCAAAGTCAAAAGTGGACTTTTCTTCTCACTCGCATCCTCTCCAGTGGAAAAGAGCAGTTGACTTTCGCCAGGATAGCTTTTCAATTTAGACCAGTTTCTGCAGGTTGCCCACTCCTGCCCTATGGCCAAAGGCACATGTGTCAAACTTGAGGCTCACAGGCCAAATCCAACCCATCATGTCATTTTATGTGACCCTCTGGATGTTGGACTACAACTCCTACATTCCTCATAATGGCTAGAGTGAATGGGATTTGTGATACAGTAACATCTAAAAGGCTGCAGTCTGTTTTTGTTTAGTCAGGACAGTGGAGTTTGAATTTAGATACAAGACTTGTGGATATGATGTCCGACTTTAAAATGTCATTTAACCTTTCCCCAACCTCAGAGCCACAAGTGCTATTGGGTTGTAATTCCCATTATCCCCAGTTCACATGACGGATAATCAAAAGGGATGGGAGTTGTTGATCAATAACAGCTGGGGACTCAAACTGGCTAGAAACTAAAGAGCAATGGCCACCATATAAAGATATATAGTTGGCCCTCAGTATCCACGGATTCTCTGTCCATGGATTCAACTTAAAGGGAACTACAAGGCTGATGTGGCCATGATGAATTTGACATCCCTGGCCTGAAGTGTCCAGTGCTCTTGGCTGCCTGGCTCAATGGGAATGAAGCTACTCTTTGTTTGCAAGGCAGGAGCTGGCGAACAAGGTGAACCACCTATCTCATTTCTCAAATGAATGGCCTGAGGCTCAGAGGACACTGGAAAACACGTGTAAAGAAGCCTTGGAAGGACAGGTATTGGGGCTTAATTCAACAATGCAATTGGTAACTTTATTTAGGATAAGTTAAGTAATAATAATATTTATTTATACCCTGCCACCATCTCCCAGAAGGGACTCAGGGCAGCTCTCTAAATGACTAGGAGATTTTGGCCAATGTGTTCAAATATGCTTTTGTTGATTTGTTGAGCTGTGAAGTGCTAGAGCAGAGCTTTCCAAACATTTCATGTTGATGGCATACTTTTTAGACATGCAGCCTTTCATGACACAGTAGTTCAGTTTTGCCAGCAAATTGGAGGTTAGACCAATCCCTTATAAGAGATAAAGGTGCATACATACATTATAACAAATGTCTGGGGACGCACACAACATATCTTGCAATCACCTTTCATTTATATTGTTAAAATATGATTTATTGGTTATTTCGCATAGAGGTTTGTGCAACACTCCAAAACATTCCTTCCAAAACATGAAAACATTCCTTCCAAAACACAACAACCAACACACAAATGTGTCATGGCAGTTTGCAACCCCTGTCCTAGAGCATTAAATCTGAAGCCTGGCATCACTTTTACAGGGGGCTGAGGACAGAGTCATTTCTTCTTGTGTGTTGGCCACCAGACCACTTATTCAAACTAACTGCTTTGTGCTTTCTTCCCCTCTTAGTTTGCTGAATTGTCACCTTTTGGCCTCTTTTCTCCTTGGCTGCCTGAAAACATTCCTTCCAACGGGGAATATTTCCTGGAATGCATGGAAGGCTCTCCATATTGCTCCTGGCTACCAATTTCTTCTCCTGGGACCACTAAACAGCTAACGCTATAGAAGCTACAGTGTCTTAAAGGGGAAACCCTGGGATATCTTCATACCTTTTACCTTTGTGATCTATTTGTGGCCCATAGCTGATTATGATATCCATAATTTTGCTGTGGATTAAAAACATTTCTGCATTTGTGACCTGTTTGCCTTTTGCCCTCTTATTTCAGGCAAAACACTTGCCATTGCCACTTAATTGAAGAAGCATTGTCACACTGACTCACTTTTCTTTGGTGGAAGTTCCTGTAAAGTTAGTGGTGAATATTACAAGAGCATAGTGCTTGCCTCCAAGTGTCATCCCATATAGTATGGAATTTCTGTCTAAATTACTTTGGGAGACAAGACTACATTAGCTCATTCTTAGGCCCCACATTGACTTGAGCAAATCAGAGCTGCTTGACACAAAGATAATAGACTCTCTGTTAACTAGCATTCAAACAACTGGCAAAAACACCCTTAACTAAAATAGCATGCTGTATTCACCAAGCTGTTTTATAAGACAGTATTATATTAGGTTTGTCTTTATTTCCTTTTCATTACTGTATTTCAATAGTAACATCACGTCAGTACAGAGTTAATGGTAAACCATAGCATGGAGTATAGTATTTATTTATTCATTCAGTTGTTTCCAACTCTTTGTGACCTCATGGACCAGTCCACGCCAAAGCTCCTTGTCGGCCTTGGCCACCCCCAGCTCCTTCAAGGTCAAGCCAGTCACTTCAAGGATACCATCCATCCATCTTGCCCTTGGTCGGCCCCTCTTCTTTTTTCCCTCCATTTTCCCCAGCATCATTATCTTCTCCAAGCTTTCCTGTTTTCTCATTATGTGGTCATAGTACTTCATCTTTGCCTCTAATATTCTTCCCTCCAGTGAGCAGTCGAGCATTATTTCCTGGAGGATGGACTGGTTTGATTTTCTTGCGGTCCAAGGCACTCTCAGAATTTTCCTCCAGTATCACAGTTCAAAAGCGTCTATCTTCCTTCGTTCAGCCTTCCTTATGGTCCAGCTTTCGCGTCCATAGGTTACTACAGGGAGTACCATTGCTTTAACTATGGGGATCTTCATTGCCAATGTGATGTCTCTACTCTTCACTATTTTATCAAGATTGGTTATTGCTCTCTTCCCAATACATTGGTCATTGCTCTCCTCCCAAGAGGTATAGTATTAATTAGGCCTATTTTAACAGTTACTCTGAAGCAACCAGAAACTACATTTTCCTCACCTCCAAAATTTGCATGTGGGGTACAGAATCGATTTGTGGGGTTCATGGGGTGAAGGCTCTGGTACTTTCCCCTTACATGGAAACAAAGCTGTCCGGTGTGTAAGCACCCCAGACAGTTACTTGCCTACAGCATGGAAAAAACCTGTATGGAGTATGGGCGGACTGGTTCCAATGAAGGCACACCAGTGTGAGGTGTATTTTAGCTTTTGCAATCATGCCTTAAGGCTGTTATTATACACCTCTGGCTGGCCATTCCTAGCCTGGATGCTACTTTGTGTGTGTGTGGAACAAGCTAGTATTTATTTATATTTCTCCTATGGTTACAAATCATTAAGCTTCAGTTGCCAACAATTGCTGGTTTATATTTGTGGAGCTTGTTTCCTAAAGGAACCAAATCTATCTGAACAAGGATTTGGGGTGGAGAAGAGCTGAGGATATATATGCTTTTGCCATAAAATGCAATTTCCCAAGCCTTGTATCAAAGTGATCTGATACAATGTGTTGTCAAAGGTTGTCATGGCTGAAATCACTGGGTTGCTGTGAGTTTTCCAGGCTGTATAGCCATGTTCCAGAAGCATTCTCTCCTGACTTTTCACCTACATCTATGGCAAGAATCCTCAGAGTTTGTGAGACCTGTTGGAAACTAGGCAAGTGAGGTTCATACATGTGTGGAATAATGTCCAGGGTGGGAGAAAGAACTCTTGTCTGCTTAAGGCAAGTGTGAATGTTGCAACCAGCCAAGCTTTGAAGCTGCAAGGCCATTAAATGTTTTTTTCATGTCAGGAGCGACTTGAGAAACTGCAAGTCGCTTGGGGTGTGGGAATTGGCCATCTGCAAGGACATTGTCCAGGGGACACCAGAATGTTTTGATGTTTCACCATCCTTGTGGGAGGCTTCTCTCGTATCCCTGCATGGGGATCCGGAGCTAACGGAGGGACCTCATCCGTGCTGTCACTGGATTGGAATCTGTGACCTGTTGGTCTTCAGTCCTGCCCTTAAATACTAATTAAGATGGCCAATTGCAACATTCACACTTGCCTAGTTTCCAACAGAACTCATAACCTCTGAGGATGCCTGCCATAGATGTGGGCGAAATGACAGGAGAGAATGCTTCTGGAACATGGCCTTACAGCCTGGAAACTCACGGCAACCCAGTGATTTGATACATTTTGGTAGTTTTGATCTGTACGTAATATTGTACTCCAAGCCAACAATGAGCTGCCACTGATCACTCATTTTTTCAATTATTTTTTTAATTTGGTACCTTTTGGAAACAATTCGATCTTTGTTGTTCATTCCTTTAGTCATTTCCAACTCTTCGTGACCTCATGGACCAGCCCACACCAGAGCTCACTGTCAGCCGTCACCACCCCCAGCTCCTTCAAGGTCAAGCCAGTCACTTCAAGGATCCCATCCATCTTGCCCTTGGTTGGCCCCTCTTCCTTTTTCCTTCCATTTTTCCCAGCATCATTGTCTTCTTTAAGCTTTCCTGTTTTCTCATTATGTGGCCAAAATGCTTCCTCTTTGCTTCTAATATCCTTCCCTCCAATGAGCAGTCGGGCTTTATTTCCTGAAGTATGGACTGTATACTCAGCTGTATAAGGAGTCAGCATTATCTGTCTATCCGTATCTTTTTACATTTTTTTATTTGTAATTGTTGTCGTGGTTAATTTTGGTATATGTGTTCAATGTTGTGGATATGTATTGTTAGTGTGCAATAATAAAAATGATTTAAAGCTGAAGTATGGACTGGTTGGATCATCTTGCGGTCCAAGGAAGAACTTTCTTCCAACACCACAGTTCAAAAGCATCTATCTTCCTTTGCTCAGCCTTCCCTGTGGTCCAGCTCTTACATCCATAGGTTACTACGGGGAATACCATTGCTTTAACTATGCGGATCTTCATTGCCAGTGTGATGTCTCTACTCTTCACTATTTTATAAAGATTGGTCATGGCTCTCCCCCAAGAAGTAAACATCTTCTGATTTCCTGGCTGCAGTCTGCATCTGCAGTAATCTTTGCACAAAGAAATTCACATTTTCTCCCTCTATTTTGCCAGTTATCAATCAGTCTGGTTGCCAGAATCTTGGGATTTTTTTAAAATGTTTAACTGCAACCCAGCTTTTGCACATTCTTCTTTCACTTTGATTAGAAGGCTCCTCAGCTCCTCCTCGCTTTCGGCCATCAAAGTGGTGTCATCTGCATATCTAAGGTTGTTAATGTTTCTTCCAGCAATTTTAATTCCAGCCTTGGATTTGTCAAGCCCCACTCATCGCATACAAGTTGAATAGGTAGAGTGAGACTATACAACCCTGCCGTACGCCTTTCCCAATCTTGAACCAGTCTGTTGTTCCATGGTCAGTTCTGACTGTTGCTACTTGGTCCTTATACAGATTCCTCAGGAGAGAGATAAGGTGATTTGGTATGCCCATACCACCAAGAACTTGCCACAATTTATTATGATCCACATAGTCAAAGACTGCGGTATCAAAGTGGTATCATCTGCATATCTAAGGTTAATGTTTCTTCCAGCAATTTTAATTCCAACCTTGGATTTGTCAAGCCCCGCACGTTGCATGGTGTTTTCTGCATACAAGTTGAATAGGTTGGGTTATATTCTGATCTAGGTAGGTCCAAATAAACCAGGCCTGGGCGAACTTGGGCCCTCCAGGTGTTTTGGACTTCAACTCCCACCATTCCTAACGGCCTCTCAGGCCCTTTCCTTTCCACCCTCAGCCGCTAAGCCGCTGAGGGGAAAAGGAAGGGGCCTGAGGCCGTTAGGAATGGTGGGAGTTGAAGTCCAAAACACCTGGAGGGCCCAAGTTTGCCCAGGCCTGAAATAAACACTCACTCCAGCCAAGACAGAATGGAATTCTCTGCCCCGGAGTGTGGTGGTGGCCCCTCTTTGGGAGCTTTTAAACAGGCTGGATGGCCATCTGTCAGGGGTCTTTTTGAATGCAATATTCCTGCTTCTTGGCAGGGGGTTGGACTGGATGGCCCATGAGGTCTCTTCCAACTCTTTGATTCTATGATTCTATGAACATACTGAGGGAGAGAGAGAGGCACCCCTTTAAAGTCATGCCTCATTGCATATAATGCAGCAGGATGCTTTTGCTGGAAGAGGCCGCCTGCACTTGAACCTGGGAGAAGCCACTGGGCCGGAGGGGGGGGGGATGACATAACACCATTCTTTCATAGGTTCCTACAGAACTACACGCCCCATCGTGCTTTGCCGGATGGTACGATCCACGAGGGAGGAGGAGAAGGGGGGGGGAGAAGAGAGACAAGTGTCGGTTCCTCCTTATTTGCTTGCCTCCCCGTTGGACCATTGCGGGCAGACCATTTCCCCTCCGGAAGGGGGGGCGGACAGGGAGCGGAGACGATGCGCGCGCTGCTCCCCCCGGGTGCGTAGCCTGGTGGACTGCCCCGGGAGCAGGTCGATCCTCTCCTAACCCGGTTGGAGGAAAGGAAAGGAGGGGAGGGGGGGAAAGGAGGGGGGCGCGCGCAGGCAGGGAGAGGAGAAGCGGTGAGGCGGGAGGAGTCCAGCAGAAAGGCCCTCCCCCCCTCCTCTCTCTCGCGAATGGTTCGCCCCGGTGCTGTTTAGTAGCGGGGAGGGAGGGAGGGGTCGGCGCCGCAAGACGGTTGGGGGCGCGCGACGGCTGTGGCCGCGGCCCCGCGAGGAGGACGGTTACGCCGCCGCCTCCTCCTCCTCCTCTCCTTCCTCCTTCTTCCTCTTCCAGCAGCTGGCGCGGTGGGTACTCGGGAAGGTGTCGTCCGTGTGGAGGAACGGAGGGAAGCATTGGGGGCTTGTAGTGGTTCCAGGTGTGTGGATATGCAAGGCGGAGGGAGGGAGGGATGGAGAAAGCGCGAGGGAGGGGGGGGGAGTCACCCTGGCCTGGGCCTTTGTGAGGCGCCTGGTTTGCATAGACATCCGCTTGCCTGAGGAGGGGAGGGACGCTGTGAGGCTGCGGAGGTTTTGTTTTGCTTTTTGTAAAATGGTGTTTTTTTGATCCACTCGGTCGATGGAAGGGAGGGAGGGAGAGAAGGAAGGGAGGGGGGTTCGTCTTGCTCGTAGAAGCGCATGCATAACCCTCCCTCCCTCTCCCTGTGTGTGTGTCTCTCTCTGTGTGTATGGGAATTTGGGCAGGAGGAGGAGGGAGGGCCTAGCGAGCAAGAGAAGGGGAATGTGGCTCCCTCAGAGGCAGCAGCAGCATCTGGAGGAGGAGGAGGGTGGGATGGCTCTGCTTTGTTAGGCATTGCGTCCCCTGTGGGCGCATTTCTAAAACTAGGTTGATGGGACCCATTCTTAAAAGCAGAGTTTAATGGCCCTGCATGGCCCGGCCTTCGCCATCGCAAAGAGGGAGGGAGGGAGGGAGGGAGAAGGTGGAGGTCGCTTCAGGCCTGGGAAGGAGGAAGGAGGCGGAGGAAATCAACCAGGGCACCCACCGGCCTGGTGTGATATCTGCGTATGTATGGCTGGGAATGATCATAGTAGAGATGTAGGCAGTGTTAAAAATGAATAAAGAACTTCTGGCCCAAGGAGTGGGGAGATAGCATAGAAATAATAATAATAATATAAAAAAATTTAAAAAGAAATAATGAACTTCTGACCCAAGGAGTGAGGGAGTCATTACATAGAAATAATAATAACAACAACAACAACAACAAACAATTTTTAAAAGAAATAATGACACACACTGACACTTCTGACCCAAGGAGTGGGGGGGGGGGGTATGACATAGAAATAATAATAATAATAATAATAATATAGACCATTTTTAAAAGAAATGATGAACTTTAGCCCAAGGAGTGAGGAGGGGATGCCATAGAAATAATAATAATAATAATAGACAATTTTTAAAAGAAATAATGAACTTCTGACCCTAGGAGTGAGGGAGTCATTACATAGAAATAATAATAATAATAAAAATATATAGACATTTAAAAAAAAAGAAACAATGAACTTCTAGCCCAAGGAGTGGGGGGGGGGGATGACATAGAAATAATAATAATGTAGACAAGTTTTTTAAAAATGATGAACTTTAGCCCAAGGAGTGAGAGGGGGATGACATAGACATAATAAAATAATAATGACAATTTTTTAAAAGAAATAATGAACTTTAGCCCAAAGAGTGAGGGAGAGATGACATAGAAATAATAATAAATAATAAAATAGAGAATTTTTAAAAGAAATAATGAACTTCTGACCCAAGGAGTGAGGGGGGATTACATACAAAACAATTTTAAAAAGAAATAATGAACTTCTGACCCAAGGAGTGAGGGAGTCATTACATAGAAATAATAATAATAAAAATATATAGACATTTTAAAAAAGAAATAATGAACTTTAGCTCAAGGAGTGAGAGGGGAGACATAGAAATAATAATAAATAATATAGACATAATAAGAAATAATGAACTTCTGACCCAAGGCGTGAGGGGGGCATTACATAGAAATAGTAATAATAATAAATATACAGACCATTTAAAAAAGAAATAATGAACTCTTGTCCCAAAGAGTGAGGGGAGCATTATGTAGAAATAATAATAATAACAACAACAAAATTACCAGCTGCAGAAGGCCACCTTACTGGGATCTGCACACATTATTCGCCGATACATCACACAGTCCTAAACATTTGAGAAGTGTCGGACATGTGATCCAATTCAACAGCCAGCAGAATGATCTTGTCTGCTGTGGACTCAACTTGTTGTGTTTCTAATAATAATAATAGTATAGACAAATTTTAAAAGAAACAATGAACTTCTGTCCCAAAGAGAGAGGGGAGCATTACATAGAAATAATAATAATATATAGACAATTTAAAAAGAAATTATAAACTTCTGTCACAAGGAGGGGAGGAAATCACATAGGGCAGGAAATGACTGGCTTTACTATAGATATTGTGATGCTTCTGTATCGCTGAAAAATAATAACAAATGTATAGACAATTTTTAAAAAGATCCAAAGGGTGGTGGTGGTTGGTGAAGCACATAAATAATAATAATAATAATAATAATAATAATAATAATAATAATAATAATAATTACTATTATTATTTAGACAATTTAAAAAAAGAAATAAAGAACTTATGGCCCAAGGAGGGGGGGATCACATAGGATAGGAATTGGCTGACTTTACAAATTTTATAATTATACTTACATTGCTTAAATATAATAATAAATATATAGATGATTTTAAAAAAGAAAGAACTTATGGCCCAAGGGGGAAAAGAATAGAAGAAATCACATAGGGCAGGAAATCAGCTGTGACCTAAACAAAAATGGGGTGGGGGGAATCTCACACTTTTGTGTCAATGGATTGCAAAGGCGTCATGTTAAAGTGGCCTGATTCACTGAGCTTACTAGAGGCCTGTGGCTTCAAATTGTTCAGACAAAGAGGAGAGAAGAAGCAAAATCTGTACTATTTATGTGCTTGTTCATTCAATTTGTACCCCCCTTTGCTTCTGGTACAGAAAGAAAGTAGTTTCAATAAAACAGGAATAAGATTAATAATATAATAACTTTATTTTTATACCCCGCCTCCATCTCCCCAAAGAGACTCAGGGTGGCTTACAAATGGAGAAGTCCAAACAAACACAGATTAAAACACAATGCAGTAAGTTATTAAATTGTGTAGCACTGAAAAGTTCTGTATAAGTAGACCTACATACCATAACATAACATAACAGCGCTCCATGCAGTCATGCCGGCCACATGACCTTGGAGGTGTCTACGGACAACGCTGGCTCTTCGGCTTAGAAATGGAGATGAGCACCACACCCCAGAGTCAGACATGACTGGACTTAATGTCAGGGGACTACCTTTACCTTTTACATATCATTTTACATACAATGCAACCTGAGCCCTGCCACATGCACAGTGGAGGACCTTCTCACAGTAACACCAGAGGCACTCCAAGTGACCAGCTTCCGGTCAAAGGAAATCTAGTATAATGCCAAGTTTTTAACTTTGTTCATGTTTTTAAATACATTATAACTGTATCCTCAATTTGCTTCTAGCATGATAAATAAATAAATAAATACAAATTTTGCCGTTCCTGAATTCAAAGTGAATACCATAAATAAATCTCCTTATTTTGTCTTTTGTTTACTATCCGAGTATCTTTTTACTAGTTGCTAAAGAGCAGGAATGGGTGGACAAAAATAACTTCAGTAAAAATTGAAATAGTGAAGAATAGCCACAAGATACTTTGCAGTGTCACACAAGATTTGGTGTTGGTTTTTTCCCCAGATTTTGACCCTATCCTAGGGGTTCTTAGTGGCTTATTGTACATCTTTTATATCAGTATTTTGTTACTAACATTGTTGTGGAGAGATACTGCCTTATCCAAGGCCACCCAGTAGGCTTCATGTCTGAGCAAGTGCTTGAACTTTTGTCTTTCAGGTGCAAATCTAATACTTGTTGTTGTTTTATTTGATAACTTCACTAGGATTAAGGATTTTGGGAAAGTTGTTGATGGCAAAATTGGCCTCAACCAGAGTTTAGAGGGCATATAGTCCAGAGAAATTCTGAAGGAGTCTTTGACATAACAGTCTATGCTAAAGGAAATATTAATTGCTGACAAAATTGCTAAAAATCAAAGTGATGAAAGTAAACTTCTTCAGTCACACCCACACACCCACGTATATATCATTTTCTAATTAAGCCCCAATGATTTCAATGGGACATGCTCCTTAATAAATGTGCATAGGGCTTTTGCCTTAGGTTTGTAATGGGAATCTCAATAAAGCATTTGTATTTCTTTGTGGCTATCTACATAAAGGTATAGAGTAAAAAGTGCATATAATTAAAAAGAAATAGGATTACTAATATTTGCTGTCTTATTTATATGACAACATATAGATATAACTTGTATTCTGTAATACTTTTAAATAAAAGCATCTGTCCCTAATAAGTTTACAAACTAAGACTAAGGGAGCAGAGTGAGAGAAGGAGTAAAAAAAAAGTAATGAATGTAGGAAAATAATCTAAATCTGAATTAATGCCTTTTTTCATTTCATATAAAATATAACTGGCATTGGAATCTTACATTACTGTCCATTTCTGGAATATTTTGGCATCTTTTACTTTGAATTGTAATCTAACCTATATCTTGACCTGTACCTGGGTGGCAATGCACAGAACTTCTGTGCATAATAAATTGTTTCAAAAGGGGGTTTTATTACAGAAGGCAACATAACTGCACATCAAGGAAGACTTAGAGAATAAGAAATACGCAGTGTAAAGAGAAATGCTGATTTTAAGTAATAAAGGAGTCATATAATACTTAGGACATTTGGCATGTAGCCACAATGACAATGAAGCAAGCTGCTTGACTTTTCCCAGATTTCTTAATTCCTGTTCAAAGACTTGGATGGACCAGACTGCTGGTTACATTTATCTGAATCAAAGAGAATATGGATCTTTATATATTGTCTCTCCTTCACTTTGTTGAACTCTTCTCATAGGTGTCCCTTATTATTTTTATCTGGGAGATTTAGAGCCATTTCTTCTACTATTTGGAGATAGCAAAGTATCTTTATATCTGTATGTGTAGGTATATATCAACAGTAAATTGACAGTAAACCCTATTGAACATACTGGGAGTGCCTTCTGAGTAGATACATCTAATAACTTACTAAAAATCACTCACAGTCCAATTCTTTGCATTTCAACTGAGAATTCCCCTGAGTTCACTGGGGTTTACTCCCAGGTAGAGGCAAGGTTTAAGATTATATTCTCCACATAACGAAAATACTATATAAGTAAATCTACATGCCATTTTGCTTTTTCCTAAACAAAAATGATTTACATAATTGGATCTCTTTCGTTTGTATTTTGCTGACTCTTTAAACCAGCATTCAAATGACCCTTACTAGCATCAAAAACACAGTGAGATGGTGTTTCACAACCTCTCGTAAGACAATGTAGGAGATATTCCTACTATCTTATATAAAATGAGAGATGTTCACAGCAATGTAATCATTTATAGTAAGTCATTTATCTTGGAAATACATCATCCCAGAGTGCTGAACTTAGCACAGTGTAACATTATGGACTAGTTATTCCCATCAAGAGCATAATGTCAAGGTGGAATAAAGGTGTTAGACAAATAAAAATATAGTTTCTAATTGGTCTTATGAATTCTGTTATATTGATTTGGGATGATAGTGTAATATTAGATAAAGTGAGTTAGACACTGTTGATAAGTCAAATAGCTTATGGAACTGGTTTTGCTTACAATTTTTTTCCCCTAATATTAGAGCATTATCCCTTTTTCTGTGATTTAAAACTATAGACTGAGGTCTTCGTGTAGTTAGAGAATGAAGAATGCCGGAAGGAGCAACTAGTCCCAGGTTATTTCAAGAAATCAAAGGGCAAAAACTGAGATTTGATTCTTCATTCTTACATTTTCACTGCAACAATAAGAGCTAGCATCCTTGGGATTTTGTGGACATGCTGAAATAAAGATGCAGAAAAAGTCAAGAGTGGGTCAGTGTAATACAGTCAGCCCCCCTCCCCCATTTGCTGGGGTTAGGGGCACAGGTCCCCTGTGAAATTGAAAAACCCCAAATAAAGACGTGGGGGAGAGGTTACCTGATAGAATACCTCTCTAGGAATATGAGACTTCCAGCAGGACTCTGTGGTTAATGTCCCTGGGAAGCTGACCACAGAGTTGCATTAGAGATTCCTAGGGAAGTGGTCTCTATACAGATGTCTATGACCTCCGGAATGACTGGGTAAAATTGATTATAAAGTCGCACTGGAAAATCTAGAGATGTCTATAGATAACATTTGTAATCAAATCCACAAATGAAATCAAGTCTGCAAAGGTCAAAATTGCAAATGTAAGGACAACTGTAGATTGGAGGCTTCAGTGCCAGAAGCCTGTGTTCAGATCTTCATATATCCAAGAAACAAACCTGGCTATGGGCCAGTCATTAGCTGCTAAGTTAGGAATGGAGCACATCTGGATCGCCACATGATGGACTGCAACTTCCATTGTCTTTCAACATTGGCTATGCTGACTAGAGAATTGTAGTCAGCAACATCTGGAAGCCAACACTCTTCTCACACCTCAATGAATGTACCTCACAATTTATTTATACGAATATATTTGAGGAGGAGCCATATATGCTACCTGGTTATTCCTAGAATGTAATCATAAATGCATTTTAAAAATACCATCTGGGTTGGTAGTATTTCAGGTCAATTTGTAAACGGGTCCTTGCTTTTTATAGCCATGGAGAAATGAATGTTGTGGATGTGGAAACTGGCCAAGCTATTCGTGCCAGCAGCTGAAGTTTGTTTTAACTCACATCTGTCTTCCCCCAATACTAAAATATATGTAGCTTGTGAGTTTAGGCAATACAAGAGAGAATGAACATAGACTTTCCCTAATCACTGCATGTTACAGACATGGGTAAGGAAAGAAATCACTAAATATTTCCAGTTTTTGAGGAATGCATCTGGAGAGAACAGGCAAAGTGTATGATATACCCAATATTAATATTAATATCTTTTGCAGGGTCCTTGAGTATGACATGGAGTATGGCTAGTTTGTGATGAAGACTACAACTTAGCAGATGCAGTAGTTGATGGTAATGATGATGCTTGAACACAACTGGAGTTGCTGAGGGAGGCGGAATGGTGGCAGGAGCTGGAGTCTCAAAGGTTCTAGTACCTGGCCTCCACAAGAAGCCATGATCACTCTGATAACTGAGCAGCTACAGAAACAGAGCCTGGATGCATTGAAATGCACATCCTTCAGCATCAGTCTGGTAAGATTTGCCTTGCCAGTCAAGCCTTCAATCAAAGTATTGTTTACTTTTATTTTGAGATGTCTTGATTTAGTTAATGAAAGCATGGAATGACTGGGACAGTGCTGTTATTTATGGCCAAAATGCAAAGAACTGTGATACTAATTCTATGAACTTTTAAAGGGCAAGTGTCCCCGTCCCCCCCAACCCTTGATCAGCCTCCTCCTCATGCTGTATGATAAAGTGCTTTTGAAACAGAGAAGCTTTAAAAAGAGATTTATGATATAACATGGGGCTTTCTGTTCAAAAACCTTCTGTGTTTTTTTTAAAGCAACCTACTGAGCGAGTGCACGCCCTTTGTGTGAGCCAGAGGAATTCTTCGGATTCTCTTACATTTGTTCATAATCTAAAGCATAGTAGACTCTGTTGGAACAGAGTGGATGTACTGTAGATACAATTCTTTGTGCTTCATGTGTTTTGTTTTCTACCTAGCTACCAATACTTTCTATAGATTCTTCTTGCACTTTGAAAAGAAAAGCCCTCTACATTTGCAGGTTTAACTTTTAAAGATTGGATTGATCACAGTTTTGTTTAATGCGGCCTCTTTAGTATTCTGTGGTCATTATGAGCCAGATGCTTATTATACAGGGTTAGTCAAAATGAATAGGCCAATAAGAAAATTAATTTTAGACGAATGTATGTTTATTGTAACCAAACTACAGCTACGTAGCGACAGATAAACTATCAAAGTTTGTCTCACCTTCAGAGATGTTCGATATGGGCGCCCCGTGTGACACGGCAGATGTCCAAGCGATAGTCCAGTTCATTCCACATCCGTTGCAGCACATCCGACGTAATGGCATCGAATGCAGCAACGTCTGGGAAGGTGTTCGTTGAGGTCCTAACCCTAACCCTACCCTACCCTAACCCTAACCCTAACCCTAACCCTTGAAATTCTCGCTGGACCGTAATTACTGACATTGTTTTAGCAAATGTCATCACACAAAACGCCTTCTCTTTGCTTGATTCCGCCATTTTGAAAACAGCGACCCCTAGCGACGCCTAGCGGCATTAACGTACATGTGTGTTGCTCAAAAAAAACTTTGATAGTTTATCTGTCGCTACGTAGCTGTGGTTTGGTTACAGTAAACATACATTCGTCTAAAATTAATTTTCTTATTGGCCTATTCATTTTGACTAACCCTGTATAATTGTTCTGGAAGACCTAGAGATTCTTAGATGGGACACTCCTGTTGGAATCTCTAGGTCCTCCAGCACAACTCTTGTTAACCTTCAATGGAAGCTGCCACATTCTAGTGTGCCACAGTCACACTAGAGTAGGCATGGGAAAACTTTGGCCCTCCCGGTGTTTTGGACTTTAACTCCCACAATTCTTAACAGCTGGTAAGCTGGCTGGGATTTCTGGGAGTTGAAGTTCAAAACACCTGGAGGACTGACGTTTGCCCATGCATGCACTAGAGAATCTAGAGATTAATAGAAATGATTTTTTTAAAAATACTGTCCTTTATTCGTGTTTTTTCCACTTTTATTGAGGTCCTGCACCCTAAATCCCAGCAAATGTGGAGGGCTGACTATAAAAACTCAGCTGTGATCATCATTGGCAACCCTGTTCAGTGTCCAAGATGATCACGCCTAACTCAATATATAGGACTAATTTTCACATGATAATATCTGTTATGGTAAACAAGTAGGCTTATAGTTGGCACACAGTGACAACATGCAGAACTTAGATTTTTAGAGGTGTTATATAGTATTAATGACTTCCAAATGCTAAGGACGTAAAGAAGAATGATATTACCACTATATTCTGCTTATCAGAATCTATGCCTTCTGTCTGGCTACTAAAAAGCAAAAGTTTTGAACTGAATGTCATTTCACTACTTCAACACAGTAATATTAGGTTGCACTGGTGGAGAAAGCCATTTGAATTTAGTAAAAGATAGCAAGAGTGAAAGCTGATGGTGTTGACAGCTGATGACCCAAAGTGCTTGAGACTATGGTATTTGCAGAAGAAAAGCATCAGATGATAAGTGAAAATCGATTCTTGATTTATTTGGATCACATAAGAGCCCATGATATTAGCAGGTGTTCAGCTTGAGGCATCAGCTTGGATTATCCTGTTCTGCTACCAGAAAATCCAGACTCCATGATTGGAATAAATTAGAAAAATAGAAAAATATGCATACATGTACTTCAACATTGTAAATAATTAATCAAGGGAAGGTTGCACACCTCCTGCTGCTACTCTTACTCCACCCTTGTGATAGTTGCTGCAGCCTGTTCCTCTTCAAGAATGATGTTGCATTTATATAACAAAGTGACTCCCATGTGTGTAGTTTCCATAGCAGGACACTCTGTTTAACCAAGAGTAGTGCTGTGGCAGTTGTACTTATGTGGTGCGCTTCTGGAGTTGGTCGCAGTAGTCCTTTCAGTTTAAGAAAGGATGTGGTGTGTGCAGCCCTTTTTGTATATTGAGGCTTATATATGGCTTATCTGGCATCCTGCTGGCAAAAAGTGTCTGTCTCTTGCTGGAAGAGTAAGAGTGAGATAGCTATCCATGCTGTGGTTCAGTGATTTCATGCATTGAGATGTATAATTGCAGTAGAAACAATGTATTGGTGTAGTTTATTTAGAGTTCTCAACCCACATGTCGCCTAAATGACTTCTAAAGCAGATTAGAAAGTTCAGAAGTAAGATCTTCTGTTCCTACAGGTTTAAGAGTCTAAAAGGAGAGGGAAGTAGTATTTGCATCTTGGGGACTGCACTCACCTGGGAACTGTTGCAGCTTGCTGCAGGCAAATGAGAAATCATATGACTGGCCTTCTTAGTTTGCAACTATGTTCTAACACTCTGACAGGATTGGGAGGATTTTTTTCCAGATATATTAGCCACTTGTTGTTCATTCGTTCAGTCGTTTCCGATTCTTCGTGACCTCATGGACCAGCCCACTCCAGAGCTTCCTGTCGGCCGTCACCACCCCCAGTTCCTTCAGGGTCAATTCAGTCACTTTAAGAATGCCATCAATCCATCTTGCCTTTGGTCAGCCCCTCTTCCTTTTTCCTTCCTTTCCCCCCAGCATAATTGTCTTCTCTAAGCTTTAGCCACTTGACAGAAGTGCAAACCAATGAGAGATAATAATTTAAAAATATGATTTAAAGCCATAATGATCTAGGTCTTTGCTAAACTCACCCCATCTCCCGCTCACTAATATTTGGGGAAGCCCCATTGTTTGTTTTTCAAAATACGTATTAGAGGAGTATCCACATATTTTACCTTTTTTCTATAGGTATAATCTATTTCCCTCTCTTTTTATAAAGCTGATCTTTGTTCAAAAGCCTCTTTGCAAATTTTGGTTGGTCATGGATCAGTCTGGGACAAATGTGATTTGAAATGACTTTCTATGATTTGACTACAGAAATACCTAAGCTTTGTGTATTACACTAGAGGCCAACACATATTTTTCTATTGAACAAATGAGTTCAAATTAGTATCTTTTCTCTACAGAAATGGATGAAAAGAGAATGAACATGTGTGGGGGAGAGGAGGAATCAAGGTGCTGGTAGTATCCTTGCTTCATAGAATATTATACAGGCTTTGTATTGCAGTAAAAATTGAAAAACTGCAGTAGAAAGCTTCATGTTCTCAACTGATGCTTCCAAATCCCAGATTCTTTATTGTGTTATAATACCATGTTCTTGTTTAAAGACTTTGATGCCATCTTCAGAAGGGGAATCGGCGTGCAATTTCCAATTCCTCCCCTGCTCCTTTGCTTGTGTGCCTCTGTCTGATTTTCCTTATTTCCTAAACACCCTGGTGCTATATTAAATGTAAAGCATTTCTGGAACTGTACTTTCTCCATATTTTTAATACTCAAGAGTTAGTAATACAAAGGATTCCCAATATAAACAATCTCTGTAACCTAAGGAGAGGTGGCTTGACTTGGAAAACAAAAGACAATGTCCTCCTGTATCAAATTTTAATTTAAAAGGAGAGTGTTGCAGTAAAATATGAAGCATGTGCTTCTTGATTCTTTTTAGGTCTGGAGTCCATGGTGAACGTGCCTGGAATTAATAAGTTTAAACAGCACGAAGTCACTGCAGGTGCAGCCAGGAACAGAACTCATCTTTTCCACACAGAAGTTTGAACACTGAGGTGTAGACTTCCAAGAATGGGATGTGGCCTAATGAAGCTTTTGCAGGGAAGGTACAATCAAGAGCATAATGTTGTTTGAGCAGATGAAGATCTGTAGTAGAGAGCCAGTTATGTGGAGTGGAAAGGGACTTCTCTTCAACCCTGTAAATTTTATACCCTGGATAAATGCATACATATTGCTGTATCTGCATTACTGGAAGCAAAGCATTAGAAGGGTGGTGGAGAGAATATGGCAAGAATGCACTATTCCCATAACTTTTTCAGTGCCCTTGAGATTTTAGTTCTGTGTGTCTTGCCTTTTATTATCAAGCGGGATCAGGTTGAGAGTAAATGTCCGTTCATTCTTGTGGGTCAGTGGTTCTCAACCTGTGGGTCCCCAGGTGTTTTGGCCTACAACTCCCAGAAATCCCAGCCAGTTTATCAGTTGTTAGGATTTCTGGGAGTTGAAGGCCAAAACATCTGGGGACCCACAGGTTGAGAACCACTGCTCTGGGTAATAGAGATGGGTCTTGTTATGGCTTATTGTATCTAATGTTTTGCTTTCCTTCATTATATTCAGAGAGCTGGTATATAGATAATGGAAAATGTGGTCCTTAACTACCATCAAATGAGTGTGAAGGGAGTCAGCTTGGTTCTGTGGCCATAAACAAGAATTCTAATTTCTTGGTCTGCCTTTTCACACTCTTCTGATGGAAGTAAAACAGCCTTAGGCTTTTAATATTAAGTCTAGTACAGACAGCACTAAGGTAAAGTTTAAAGAAGTGCAGAGCCTCTACAGATGATGGCTTCTGAATGAATCTGAGGACAGCACAATGCAAAGAATACTAGGCAAGCCAGAGAAAATTAAGAGTCTCTGTTTGACTAGCTTCCCTTTTCCCAGCTGTGGTTTTAACAATAGAACAAAAGAACTAGGAACTTGTCCTATGGGTAAAGTTTAGTTATTTTGCAGTGAGGGGGTGGACGGGTAGTTGAGAGTGTTGTAGGAATTCCGATTGAATAGAATATCTCAATATTGACAGAATATCGTGATAGGCTACATGGTGGGAATTACAGAGCCAGAGGCGCTTATGAGATGCTGATTGCTGTGATGTGGTGACTCCTTGTGTTTCCCTCCCTAGCCTTTGCCTGATCATGCTGATGTGGCCAGCTGTGGCAGCCCCTTCCAGATAGCGCCTGGTAAGAGCGTCTGGCTGGACTTCCACTTTTTGTGCCTACATCCATTTCTCTTATGTCTGTCATTTTAAGTCTTGATGTTCTCTATGTACAGCACACTGTTAATAAGATTAGTCTGCTTCCCAGTTCTTCCTTCTAAAGGCAGGAATGGTGTCTCAGTAAATGAGAGTCATTGTTTCCACTGAAATAACTCTTATTGTTCTGAGGAAGGGAGCAAAAAAGGTTTTTTTAAAAAGAAGACAAGAAACATTGTTTTATTTAATAGCCTAAAAAGAAGCCCCACTGATGTTCTGATTTTTTAAAAATCAATTTCTTGAATGACTGCTATCACTGTCACTTTTTCTTCCAAGGCAGTTTGGTTTGTAGTAGTTCTGTCCAGTGATCCCTATGACAACATGATACATACATGATTGGATATATTACAATAAATTCTTTCACATAAATAGTAGTTCTTGCTAAAATTAGCACTTGATAAAAACGGTTCTATACTAGGAGAATTATATTGATGGAATAAAGAATTTAAAACTGTGATAAAAAATTAAATATGATCGCTTGATCTATGGATGAGATTGATTCTGCATGGAAGCAGGGGCTAAGTGAATAAGAAAAATAACCTTAAATTTAAAATCGACAACGCTATTGGTTCTTGTTTTGTTGGCTTAAATAGAATATTAGAACATAGTTAATCTCAGCTATGTGTCATATAACCTTAAGCTATCAAACTGGGTTGCTGGAATCCTTAGCAGCTCTTAATGTTCATGATACCAAGCTTGGAATAGAATAGATTCCACATACAATAAGTGTATATTTGCAATCTCTTTTTAGGCATATTTTTGTACAAAAGCGGGGGGTGGGGGGAGTTCTTTCCCTGGATGAGTCATTCCTGCAACCATTCTGGTCACTTGTGTTACAGCCATATGTCGTCCAGCATCTTGATGATGACTCCTCTAAGAGTTAGAATTAGAATGTTTTTTAAATATTTCTGTTTTAATGCTTTCTCATTTAATAAATGCGCAGAGTAGTGGAAGTATGTGGAAAGCGGGTGCTTGTTTAATCTAAATCATATAGCAAGAAGCAACAGTTTGTTTATTCTTTTATTATAGAATTTGTATCCTGTTCTTAAAACAAATTCACAGAGTGGCTTAATAAACTTATTAGAAGCTATTGAACTGTAGTTCTTAGCATTTGTCACTAAATTGGCTGTGTTAACTAAGGCTGATGAGAGTTGCTGTCCAACTACATCTGGAAGGGCTTTGCTCTTTGCCTACCCTTGGTGTATATAGAAATGCATTTGAGAAAAAGAATCTCTATCTCAGAGATAAAAGCTAAAGGAATAGATTGTACATGTTAGGCTACTAACTTCAGGCCTAAGAAAGTATGCCCCAATAAACTCACTAGTACTTAAAAGTTCTTGTTGTGAGTTCACAGGGTAATATGGCTGAGCTTTACAAGTTGGCTGTTGGAGTATTTGACTTACAAGTTTACAGGGAAATGAACTTTTTTTTGTCTTGTCTGAAGGCATGGTATTGTGTTTCTCTTCCTTTCTCTTTGTTATTGTGGCATGCTTGTTTTTGGCTTCTGCAGTGATCCGGTTATTTCCATTCACCAATCTTTCAACGCATCTCATTTTCGAAGAAATATCCATTTCCATGTTGCCATTTTTTGAATGCCTTATTATGCAATTAGTGAATATAAACAGCTTCTGAAGGGAATTCAGGGCATCTTCTCTGGACTTATTCTAGAACTACATGTATTTTGGATTGATGGCACTCTGATTTGATGATTATCACCATTAGCGTTGGCTGTTTGTGTAGCAGTTCAAAGAGATAGGAAAATAAATCTTAGAACCATTTCATTAAATTAAAAGTTTCCTTTGGAGAATAGCAATGTTGAAGCATAGACCTATTTCTTGAATTGCCTTCTGAAACTACAATTGGGAGGGGGACTGGCTAGGAGGTCTTACAATGTGTTGAACAGAGATATGCATCTTCAACTGCTACGTTATGCATGTTAAGAATATGGGTGCATGAAAAACAGTGTTAAACTTTAAGCGATACCAAACATGGAAATACTTGAAAGAAGCAGGAAGGTTTAATTCTCCAACAATTATTCACTTTTTTATTAGTTATTTAATATATGTTCTGAGTTGTTCAGTTAGTTTGTTCCTCTAGCTTACTTCATCAGTTGAGATAAAATCTTGTCTTACTCTCCCTGCTCGTGGCAGATTGCCCCTGCTGTAACTAGGATATAACAATGAAACAAAAATTTCCTATATCTGCTAGATTTATTCTTTTTTCTGATCCATAAATGCTTTCTAGTATGATAAGATAACCATGCAGAGTTCTCTTATACATGCTAGAAGAAATAGAATATAGTTATAAAATAAAGGATTGGAGAAGGAGTGGGGGAATGGGAAGTACTGGTGTGAGGAATAAACTTGTCACTTTGGTTTCTTTATTACTTGAGAATGGTGCAAAATAGATATTACTGGATCATAATTACACTGAGTTAAAAAAAAGAAAAGTTATGACTGCATCTGAATGAATTAACAAGCTAGACCCACTGTCTGAAAATATTTTTTTACTGTTTTGTTGGTTGATGTTGGTCTACAATTCAGAATAAAACGTATTAAAAATAATTTGATACTGTGGGGGGAAATACTTCCAACATGGTGCCATTTTAATAAAAGGCTAGATAGGAATGCTGATTATTCGTATGTCAAAGGCTATGATTGGGTATCTGGAATGCGGATCTGTGTAGTAATTGGAATTCTTGTTTTACATTACCTGTCTTGTGATATTTCTTCCAGAGGGAGCTTCATGGAGGGATCTGACTCCCTGTCCAAAGATCCATCTTCAGGACAACACAGGTCTATACCAACACTCCAGCTTGAGCCTTCCATTGCCCTCCTGTGGCCCAGACGACAGTCCTCAGAACATACTTGCACCTCAAACACTGGCCACCAATTCACTAGGTTCAGAAAAGGCTTCTGTGCCCCCCACCAAAAGACACTGTCGTTCCCTCTCAGTGCCCGAAGACCTCTCCCGATGGCAAGCTGTCTGGAGGCCCCTGGGGTCCAAAGTATGGACTCACATCAAACGTCGGGACAATACTGGAGGGGACACTTTGGCAGTGCAGCCCCAGACTGTAGCCCAGGGAGCCAACAGACTTTGCTTCAACCCTGCCCCCAGTGCCTCTCATCAGGGTGTTCAAGATGGTGCTAGTGGTGGGAGGAGTCCACCTTTCTTCAGTTTGGCCCTCTCCCGAGAATCGCCAGCAAGTGTACCATGGGAGACTGGAGAGTCTTTGCAGCCCTATCCTCTGCAACGACGTTTCTCCCTATCACCTGTCAGATTTTTGCCCTCCCCACAAAGCTCTACCACCTCCACACCAGAGCTGCTTCGACACCAGCATAGCCTCCCTCGCAGCCGCTCCCAGCCTTGTGACTTGGACACCAGGAAGTGTGGTCTTAAGCGGCGCCATGATGAGGATGTGAGGTGGCACAGGCCCTCGCTTGATTTCTACAAGATGAATCAGGTAGGAAAGGAAATGGATGCTATCCCCATCTGATTTATCAGTTTTGCTCACGTGTCTGAAGCTAAAGCCTATACCATTGAAGGTCGTAAGAAAGGAGAAATCATTATTCAATCATTTCTCCTTTCTTACAACCTTTGATAGGATTAAGACGCAAAAACTCAGTAGCTGAAATACAGCAAAGGATTTGTGTATCAAAAGGCTTTATTTTCTTAACCGCTGCCATTAAGTAGTATTTGCATTTTTTTTTCTATGGGATGGTTCAAAGGGACAGTAATACATTGAGGAAGAACATTGGGAGTCACATTGATTTCTGTGCATGAAATCCTTTGAACACAATTCAACAATTATTTGTTAGAAACATTGGGCCAGTTGTCATACATAACTTAGAAATGACATAGATCCTGCTTTGGGGGCTTCTGCACTTGTATTGCCAGTTTATATCTGAAACTACTGTTGTACATGCCCTCATTAACTATAGGGTGCACAGTTGGAACAGCAGGTGTTTAATAACTACTAGAATATCCAGCAGGCATTTCAAGCCTTCTTAATCCACACTGGAATTAGGGGTGGAAATTGTTCAGTTGAGCACCCATTACAGAGATACTATCCGTTGTTGTCAGTGCTTTTCTTCTTTTGTGTGGGACAAAGGAAATAATACTAGAAACATAGTGTAATCATTACCAAAGTATTGTGCAAAGCATACACAAATGATACTGTTAGAGGGACTCAATTGCAGCTGTCTTAGAACACAGATAATGGCACGATGGGAAAAGTTCGATGACACTGGAGAAGCAGGTTATGTCAAACAATAAGTGATTTAGGAAGGCTTTCCTAGGATAGTCGTTCAGCAGTACCAACCCATGCTTGGCACCTGAACTCTGTAATTAAAGCAGGTTTTGAAAAGTCAGGTTTGTGTTCTGATAATTCAGGTCTTCTCCTTTCCACAGCTTAAGAATCTATGGTTGATTTCTCTCCAGAAGGAAAGTAAGTGAGCCGGCAATGACAGAAACTCCAGCTAAAGGTGTTCTAGTACAAACAGTCACAAACATGGTTATGGCTATGAACTCTTATTACAACTAAAGGGGCAAGGAGGAAAGGTGTGTTGGTATATACATTTCTTTAATATATACTTTTTTAAATTATAGAAACCATTTGCAGGAGGCGCCTGTCAGTTAGACAAATCTGAAGAAAGTGGCTATCCATCATGGCTCTTGGACTGCAGTCCACAAGCACCGTCAGCTCCATGCAGTCCCCTCAGCAATTGCATCCAGGTGCTTAGTGAAAGTGAAGAAGAGGACGAGGAGGAAGAGGAATCGGCAGTACGAGCAGCAAGGCAACTAAACTGGAATTTAGCAAGCAAAAGAACACTTTTCCAGCCAGACTTTAGTGACCTGGATCTAACATTGATTGAGGAGAACTAGGGGTTGGATGTCTTTTTGAAAAACGGACTTGGGACTGGCAGCGGGACATGGCTGCACTCCTGGATGAGGGCCGAGGGATTAGGGTGGGGATAAGGGGAAAGTGGCGGTGGGACCAATGGGGTTTTGTCTGCTTGTTTCTTTTGTATTAAAAAAGAAAAGAAATTGCTGGGTGTGGTGTGTCTCTTGATGGGATGGTCGATCACTGCCAAAAGGTGTAGAGAACTAGAACTTTGACAGCAGTCATTATACCTATCTTGGCAAGTGTCTCATGTGATCCAATCTCTGAAGCTCAGAAAGAGTAAAATTCTGCAAGGACCACATTCGAGATCGAATCCTGCATATAAGGATAAGACTAGTGTGAGGTAATAAGCATCTCTGGATGGAAAAAGTGAAGTGGGTAGATTTGGAGAAATCCTGTGGTCATATTTTGAAATAATTATGGTCTTCCACCTACCAGATTATTTTGCTTGCCGAATAAATCTGCTTCCTTGTGATTTGTTACAAAGAAATAGTAGCCAAGATGGAGGACAAAGACAGTGACAAGTGTAAAAGCTAAAAATTATAGGTGTAATTTTCTCTGTATTTTCCTTCCTAATTCAAGTGACGTCCAATGGCAGAACATAAAGCCCAGGGTGGGTACCCGCAGTGGGTCTCTAGAACAGTCGTTTCCTCCTAGGAGCCTTTGGGAGTTACCTAGAGTGCCAAAACACAGGGCCCTTCCACACAGCCATATAACCCAGAATGTCAAGGCAAATAATCCACATCTGTTTTGAACTGGGTTATCTGAGTCCATGCTGTCATATAATCCAGTGCAATGTGGATTTCATACAGCTGTGTGGAAGAGGCCAGAGAAAACAGGTGGCTAGAATTTGTATTCTTATGTCTTACTGTGCAGTGAGCATTACAGCCTATTTAAAACATGCAATGCATCTTGAGCTTCTCAAAGAAGCAATTTGTATGTGTTTTGGCAGAAAATAGGCAAACTGAAGAGCTTGAAGCCTAGAAAAACAGTCTTAAAGATGTCACGTAGCATTCTTTTCCACATCCCTGATGTAAAGCTTAATTTTATCCCATGGCAAAGAAGGCAATCAGGTGTTCTCTGGATATTAAACTGCAGCTTTCAGCATGTCTCACCATGTGCTGAGGGCTTGTGGGAGTTTCAGTTCAATATCTGGAGGCCTCTCTGATCTCCACCCATTTAAGGACTAAAACTTTTCACAACTTAAGACAACATAATGTTCCCGTGTAAGATTTATGTAAGTTGAAGGCGCATAAACACCATGTGCTGGTATAAGGCACTTTTTGGAGCAGTGTGGACTAGTGGCGATAAAGGGAAAGCTACTTCTATTGCCAGAAAAAGGTGTCCCAACTGCTTACACACAGGAGTTGGCAAGGAGCTTTCTGTCATGGCGAGACTACTTCCAATGCCAGCTGTTCTTGTAGAGCTTAAGGTAATTTCCCCATCTAATTGTGGTTCCTGTTCTGATGTAGTTACTGGTCAGTAGTGCTGCAACCCATAAATTTTGCTAGCAACAAGAAAAGACAATTTTAATTAAAAGACACAAGATATAATATGGTTCTTCAATTGAGAAACCACACTCCTTTAAAAGCCTGTGCAGGAGGCAGAAATCTAACAGGTGCAACTTCTCAGCCAGAACAAGCTACTCACAGTAGGGAGCTGCAACCTTTTCATACTTTTGAATAACATATACCTTGCTGCAGGATTTTAAAAGTGCCATTATTTTGCTCTGCAGGAGAACAACACAACCATGTAGGTACAGCAAAAGTATGAAAACAGGATTTTAAAAGTACAATTATGTTGCTCCACAGGAGAACAACACAGCTGTGTAAATAAAACTTTATTTCTATCCTGCCCTATCTCCCCATGGGGACTCAGGGCGGTTCACAACATAAAAGACAAACATTCAATGCCATAAAATACAACAACAGACTAAATTCCAAATAAATAAAACAACATTCAGTAATAAAACCCATGAAGACAATGATAAGATTGTTGTTTATTCGTTCAGTCACTTCCAACGCTTTGTGACCACATGGACCAGCCCACGCCAGAGCTCCCACCCCCAGCTCTTTCAAGGTCAAGCCAGTCACTTTAAGGATACCATCCATCCATCTTGCCCTTGGTCGGCCCCTCTTCCTTTTTCCTTCCATTTTCTCCAGCATGCTTATCTTCTCCAAGCTTTCCTGTCTTCTCATTATGTGGCCAAAGTGCTTCATCTTTGCCTCTAATATCCTTCCCTCCTGTGAATAGCCAGGCATTATTTTCTGGAGTACGGACTGGTTTGATCTTCTGATCCAAGGTGCTCTCAGAATTTCCCTCCAATGCCACAGTTCAAAAGCGTCTTATCAGCCTTCCTTATGGTCCAGCTCTCACATCCATAGATTCCTATGGGGAATGCCATTGCTTTAACTATGTGGATCTTTGTTGCCAGTGTGATGTCTCTACTCTTCACTATTTTATTAAGATTGGTCATTGCTCTCCCAAGGAGATAACAGATTACACAGTATTAAAACAGTGGTGAGGAGAACAGGGAAGATTCAATATTTTTCGTGATATTGGGTTTTTAGGCATTTGGGGGGCGGGAGTTTGATTCAGAAAATTGCATTGGATGGACCACAACATGGAATCATAGAGTTGGAAGAGACCTAATGGGCCATCCAGTCCAACCCCCTGCCAAGAAGCAAGAAAATTGCATCCAAAGCACCCCTGACAGATGGCCATCCAGCCTCTGTTTAAAAGCTTCCAAAGAACCACACTCTGGTGCAGAGAGTTCTACTGCTGAACGGCCCTCACAGTCAGGAAGTTCTTCCTAATCTTTCTTGTAGTTTCTTTGGCTCCTTCCATACAACATAAATGAAACCCACAGAAACCCACATAAATAAAACCCATCTGCTTTAAACTGAAGTCAGATAACCCAGTTCAAAGCAGATACAGTGGGATTTTTTGCCTTGATATTCTGGGTTATAGGACTGTGTGGAAGGGCCCTTAGATATGGTTATGACGATTCTTTATGGGCGAGCAGATGGCGACTGGTAGATGGCATGTGCTCTGTGTCTCACAAACCTGAACCTGATTTTGCGGGGGAGGGGTAGTGCCATTTTTGGAACCAACAGGCCAAACATACCCAGAAACAAAGCTAACACGTGAGGCACCCAAATGCGGTGCCGTGCCAAGAGGGTGCCCTCCACCTAGGGCGTGTCTGCCCCAAACCCTTCCCAAGGAGAGGCTCCAAGAGAGCGCGGAGGCCGCCTCGGAGAAAGGCGAGGGAGGCCGACCGGAAGTGCAGGGGCTCGCGAGGGAGGGAGGGAGGGAGGGAGGGAGGGAGGGAGGGGAGGTGGGTGTGTCGCTCTGGGCGCCACTCTATGGCATCGCGGCCTGTTGCGCTCCGGCTTGTGCGGACGGGCGGCGGGCGTGGGGTTCTCGGCGGGCGCGGCCCAGCCCTTCCGCTTCCTTTCTGGAGGCCGGCGGCGAAAGAGGAGGAGGAGGAGGAGAAGAGAGAGCAGGGAGGGAGGCCAGTTCCGCCGTGGGCCCGCTGAGCCGGCCGGGCCTGGTCTGGTCTGCTCTCCGCCGCCGCCGCGTCCTTCTGAGGGAGCCGCGACTCTCCGCGTGCCCGCGCGGGCGGGAGGGAGGGAAGGGCAGGGGCGCGCCTCGCTCCCTGAGGCTGTGCCGCCTCCCGCTGCCTTCCTGCCTTCCTCCTCCCTTCCTTCCTCCGGGAGTGAGAGGCTGAAGGGCTGGCCTCGCTGCGTCCCATGGACAGGCACAAAGTGAAGCGCCAGAGGCTGGACCGCATCTGCGAAGGTAAGGCCGCGGGGAGGAGGAGGAGGGAGAGGAAGAGGAGGAGGAGGAGGCGCCGAGGGAGGGAGGGAGAGGGGGCCGGGATGCCCGGGCCGAGGAGAGAGGCCTGGGTGGGAAACGAGTCCCTTCTGGGGCCTACTGTCAGGCTCTTACTGTTACCGCGGTTAGGGTCGCTGCTTTGTATAGTCATCAGAGGTGCAGTAAACACAAAACGGTGAGCCCTGCTCAAGGCTGTCATTCATACATATACATACATATATATATACACTAGCCACCCCCTGCCAGGCGTTGCTGTGGCCCAATCTGGTGATCTGGAAAATAAAGCAATGAGAAAATGTTGGTTTCTAATATATGCAATGTCTTTATGCTTGTGGGTGAACAGTATTTCTTGTTAGGTTCTTGTGGGTTTTTTCGGGCTATAGAGCAGGCGAAACGTCAGGAGAGAATGCCTCTAGAACATGGCCATATAGCCCGAAAAAACCCACAAGAACCTAGTGATTCCAGCCATGAAACCCTTCGACATACAGTATTTCTTGTTGTTTCTTGTCAGTGTTGATGTGGAGATTATTTGGTTTGCCTACTCTGGAACATGCAACATATTGTCCTTCTTTAGGTCCCTTTCAAATCTATGATTCTATATCTGTTATATACATGTGTGTGTGTGAGAGAGAGAGAGAATCATATCAATATTTCTATATTTGTGGCTGGATGGCTCTTTGTCAGGAGGGCTTTGATTATGTTTTCTTGCCCTGGTGAAGAGAGTTGGACTGGATGGCCTTAGGGCAGCATGTCTTAACCTGGGGGTCAGATTAACCTGGGGGGTCACGAGGGGGTGTCAGAAGGGTTGCCAAAGACCACCAGAAAACCCATTATTTTCTGTTGGTCATGGAGGTTCTGTGTGGGAAGTTTGGCCCAATTCTGTCGTTGGTGGGGTTCAGAACGATCTTTCATTGGAGGTGAACTATAAATCCCAGCAACTATAACTCCCAAATGCCAAGGTCTATTTTCCCCAAACTCCACCTGTGTTCATATTTGAGCATATGGAGTATTCATGCCAAGTTTGGTCTAGATCCGTTATTGTTTGATTCCACAGTGCTGTCTGGATGTAGGTGTACTACAACTCCCAAACTCAAGGTCAATGCCTACCACACCCTTCTAGTGTTTTCTGTTGGTCATGGGAGTCCTGTATGCCAAGTTTGGTTCAATTCCATCATTGATGGAGTTCTGAATGCTCATTGATTGTAGGTAAACTGTAAATCCCAGCAACTACAACTCCGAAATGACTAAATCATTTTTTTGAGTGATGGTCACTCCTTGGGTTAGTAGGTGTCTTGTGGCCAAATTTGGTGGCAATTAGTCCAGTAGTTTTTGAGTTATGGTGTCACTCAAAACAAACAGCATATATATTTGTGTGTGTGTGTGTGATTTTGAAAAAGGTGTGTGTATGTATGGATATATACACACACATATACATATCCGGATGGATGGATGTGTGTGTGTGTGTGTCTCCATGCATCCCCATGCATGCACACACCTTTGTCAAAACCAAATTTGTGTATATGTATGTATACATATACCATATATAGCAGGCAGCTGCTTAAGCATATATACACAAATGTGGTTTTGACAAAGGTGTATATACACACACACACAAAGAAGGGGAAGGAGGAATAACAAGTCAACAAACGGTAGACTGGAATAGCAAAACAAATCATCCAGATAAAATGCAGCAGGAGACAAACTAAAAAGCACACAGAGGAAAGAAGGAATAAAGAATCACAAACTGTAGAGTGATACTGCAAAACAAATCAAGCAGGAAAACAGCAAGTTAAAGCAGAAATATAATAAATACACGCTAAAAGTCTTCCAAATGGGCTAGATATAGTACCATCTCACACTTGTCTTCTGAAAAGCTGGCATCCAGGGCAGGTCAGAGGGCTCCTTTTTGTGCCCATTTTGCCCATCCCCACTGGAGGGAGGCACTGTTGGAGGTGGTGGGAAGGGCTAAGCCAAGTGCAACTAAGAGGAGGAGAGTGGCAGCTTTGTATTTATTTATCGTGTCAGGAGCAACCAGACAGTTGTATTACATTTCTAACAAAACAAACAGACAGACAAAACACACAGTTTGCAAGCTTGGTAGTTGATTAAATGTCCTTTGACCAGTATCTGGCCACTTGGAGTGCCTCTGGTGTTGCCGCAAGAAGGTCCTCCATTGTGCATGTGGCAGGGCTCAGGTTGCATTGCAGCAAGTAGTCAGTGGTTTGCTCTTCTCCACACTCGCATGTCGTGGATTCCACTTTGTAGCCCCATTTCTTAAGATTGGCTCTGCATCTCGTGGTGCCAGAGCGCAGTCTGTTCAGCCTTCCAAGTCGCCCAGTCTTCTGTGTGCCCAGGGGGGAGTCTCTGATTTGGTGTCAGCCATTGATTGAGGTTCTGGGTTTGAGCCTGCCACTTTTGGACTCTCGCTTGCTGGGTGTTCCAGCGAGTGTCTCTGTAGATCTTAGAAAACTATTTCTTGATTTAAGTCGTTGACGTGCTGGCTGATACCCAAACAAGGGATGAGCTGGAGATGTCACTGCCTTGGTCCTTTCACTATTGGCTGCTACTTCTCGGCAGATGTCAGGTGGTGCAATACCGGCTAAGCAGTGTAATTTCTCCAGTGGTGTAGGGCGCAGACACCCTCTGATAATGCGGCATGTCTCATTAAGAGCCACATCCACTGTTTTAGTGTGGTGAGATGTGTTCCACACTGGGCATGCATACTCAGCAGCAGAGTAGCATAGTGCAAGGGCAGATGTCTTCACTGTATCTGGTTGTGATCCCCAGTCAGCTTTCGTATGATATTGTTTCTAGCACCCACTTTTTGCTTGATATTCAGGCAGTGCTTCTTGTAGGTGAGGGCACGGTCCAGAATGACTCCCAGGTATTTGGTTGTGCTGCAATGCTGCAGTGAGATTCCTTCCCAGGTAATCCTCAGAGCTCGGGATGCTTGTTGTAAGAGGGGGGGGGGGCAGCTTTGTTAGGACCTGCTGTGAGATTAGGCTGCAGAGACCCCAACTGACCCATTGCCATAATTCTTTTCCCCACCCTCCTGTTCATGGAATGAAGTAGTTCTAAAGATTTTTGGAGGGAAGAATACCTGCAAATCCCACCATACATGTTGAATTCTCAAAACAATTCCTACCGGGGTCAATTCTGTAAAACGCTTTCCTGAATGAATGGAGCTGTCCAGTACTGCAAGGAGGAGAAGTTGGCCATTTGTATCTTGGCAGAATCAGGAAGTGTAGAAAAATATTTGGAGGCGCGAGTACTGATCGCTAGAATTAAAAACATTTTTGACTAACATAAACTTACCAACATTTCATTGGGAAGTGAGGGGCTGCTTTTGGCTCATCAGATAATCAAGTTAATTAGAATTATTGTTGTGTGTGTCTTCAAGTTGTTTCAGACTTAGGACTGGGATTTCTGGGAGTTGTAGGCCAAAAACATCTGGGGACCCCAGGTTGAGAACCGCTGCCTTAAAGAAACTATGGAAAAGAGAAGAATGCCTTAAATGCCTGGGAGCAAATAGAATGGTAAAGAAAAGGGGTTTTTTTGCTAGCTCAGTTGCACTTTGCTATTGTGTTTTGTTTCATCATTATCCTTGATTTAGGGTCATCTGTTCTTCTGTTGTGTTCCAGTGATATATCATAACTGCTATTTTAAATCTTGTATCTGACTATTTCCTGATCATCATAGTTAATAACTGCAAAAAATACTAAATGAGCCCAATATAGAAGAAATGGACTGTAACTCTAATTCTTTACTTCATACTTATCTAGAATTATGACACCATTTCTGTTGAGTTTCGACTCTCTTCCCAAATTGCTCTTATATGCATTCCCTGCATTTTAAGGAAACCTTTGAAAATTAAATCCTTATAGTATAATTTTTCTAAATATTTCTTTTGAATTGCTTTATCTATTGTTGTTGTTACTGTGTTAAAACATTTATACCTTCCTCTATATCAAAGATCTCAGGCTGGCTTTCAAAAAGCATTAAATTGTGAAGTTCAAAAACATAGAATAATTAAATAAGTGAATGGCATATTAAATAACAATATTAAATTAAAAACAGGTTTAGAGGTTTAGTAAACTATATACACTTGCATTTGGATTGAATTAATAAGACTTTGATAAACAACCAAATTTTAACTTGGTGCTCAAATGACGTGAGACTGTCGCTGCCAGCTGGGCTTCCAGAAGGTGGGCATTTTACAGTCTGGTTTAAGGCAGCCCTCCAAAAATTTGCAGATGAGATTATCTGAATACAGTAGTTCCTGTTGTATGTGAAATACTGTGTTCTTATACTGCTTTATAAAAAAAGCAGATGGGAGTTTTCCCCAATGTTACTTGGCAATATCAAGAACATGAGATATCTATCATGCAAACACATAATCTACCACTTCAGTGAATTCCTCCCAACTTTTTTAATTCCAGTGCCATTTGCTCTTACTGATAGTTCTTAATGCTGTTGGGCTAGAATTGAGGCAAGTACTTTCCCCCTTGTTTTCATAACTACTTAAGATTATTTTTCTTCTGTAGGTATAAGGCCTCCCATTGGTAATGGTCCAATGCCAGCCCGTCCATTGGTTGCCCTTCTTGATGGCAGGGATTGCACTATAGAGATGCCTATCCTGAAAGATGTTGCCACAGTGGCTTTCTGTGATGCACAGTCAACTCAGGAAATTCATGAAAAGGTAAGTTTGCTGGGACACATGGAGATTTCCCATTCCAAGAAAGAAGGGGTAATCTGAATCAGGAGTCTGCAAGTTTTGCTTTCATTTTCATACCTGCCCATATCCTCTGTCCTCCAATCCTGGGGGGGGGGGGGGGGGGGGGGGGAATGTACTGGAGATAATTTGGGGAAATTTGACTTTCCTCTTATTGTATTGAGATCTAGCAGAAGGTACAGCCTCTGCTGTATTGTTTCTGTGTTGCAGAAGGCCAGTGAGAAGAAAGTAAACAACTCTCCTCTCTTGCTTTTACTGTGAACAGAGAATTTGGAAGAAAGGGGGGCATTCTTTAGAAGCAATTAAATTTTATTTGTGCCATATCAGAATCATTTCAGAAGGGGGAAAGTCATACCTTACCTTCTCTGAGTTGCGTGGAAGCCAAAGGACTTATGAGAAGGACCTTTGTGGTGGGCTTATGGGATAAAGCAGGACCACTTAGCTGAACGGGATGGAGTATTTGCTGTTGGGAAACAAGCAAATGGGTTTGCAAATCCTGATCTGACTAGGTCCTACCCTTGTGGAGCAAGCATTATCCTATTGTTCTGTCTTTCATAGGTGCTAAATGAAGCTGTTGGGGCTCTGATGTACCACACCATTACCTTGTCGCGCCAAGACCTGGAGAAATTCAAAGCTCTCCGGGTCATTGTGCGAATTGGCAGTGGCTATGACAATGTGGATATCAAGTCAGCTGCAGAATTAGGTATGGTGATCCCAGTGTGTGTGTGTTTTTCAAAAAGTGAATACACAGAATGGGGGAAACACCCATTATCTCTATGTTTGCTAGATCTAAATTGGAGGTCAGTCAGATATTTACATTTCCAAGAAGCAGGTAAAATGCATGCTATTAATAAAATATATTTGCAAAGCCTATTTTTTTTAAAAAAAAGATCATAACTTTACTAATAAAGATAAAGGGAGCAGAGAAGGGCCCTAGGAGGACATTGACATTGTGGGATGATCTCTTCTAGTAACAAATCAGCTTCTGTATTTTGATTCTATCTTTGAACAGTGATGTTATTGTAATCAAGTATCAGTCCTTTCCTGGGAGAAAGATGGACTATACATTCAATAAAAATAAATAATGTGATATGATGTATTTATTTTTGAGGATTGAATATTTTTATGCATCCTGTTATTGTGATAACATTTCAAAATATGTTTTAAAATTTATTACACTTCTCTCAAAAGAACCCTTACGGATTTGGTTTTCTGTTCCTAAGTTAGACAATGAAATATAATGAAATATTTGAGAAATAAAAGAATTGAAGTTGAGTATTATTTATTTGCATGCTGCCACACAATAGGTGCTACAACTCATGCACATGTAACAATGAAGACAACAGATGAGTCCATGTGATCAGCTTCTGCAGGGCACTGATAATCTTTACTATATTGGCTTAGAAAATAGTAACCCATTTCTCTAGTGATATCTTTCTCTCGTTATTGATTGAAGTGGAACAAATTTTCAGTTAAATGTGTTTGGGCTTAAGATGTACATTATCTTTATATGCAGACCTCAGTGCAGGTTGTTGAACAAAGGCTATACAATTCACGGAAAAAATAATAAAAACTCTTTATTTATATGATTTTAAAGTGGCAGGGATTTGACTTGCCTTTCTAAATAACAGATTTTCCTGATTTCTTTCAGTTTTTTGGTTGTAGTCAGTACACTAGTACTGTATTTAATTAACTTCAGAGAAGTTTCTTCTATTCAAAATTAGTGGCTTCCTTTAAGTTTTGAAATTAAACTAATTTAATGCTTGAATGAATATTATTTCACTGTCAGGCATTGCGTGGGAATTATACTGATCTCTTTGCCCCTTTTCCTTAGGTATTGCCGTGTGTAACATACCTTCTTCTTCTGTGGAAGAGACGGCTGATTCTACCTTCTGCCACATTCTGAACCTTTATCGCCGTGTTACTTGGCTCCACCAGGCTATGCGAGAAGGAAGCAGAGCCTCAAGTATGGAACAAATCAGAGAAGTGGCTGGAGGTGCTGTGCGTATCCGTGGTGAGACCTTGGGCATCATTGGACTTGGTAAGAAATTGCTGCTCTAGAAACACTAGTGTATTTCAGATTTAATGATCTGACCCTGTGTTGAACAATGTGCCTTGCCATCTACCTACTCCCATCTGGGGGGAGTAGGGAGACTATAATTTTCTCCCTCCTTTCTTGATATGAGGCATTCTGATTCAACAAGCAGGGCCAGGAACAAAAGTGAAGCTATGAGAACAGGCATTTAGCACCAGTTGCCCTATATCTACGGGGTTTTTTTTCAGTGCAGCTATTAGCCTTCCTAAATTAGGAAAATTAATTTCTCATCCTAGTTGTCAAAATATATATCTGACTATCCTGGCACCTAGGAGCAGAAAACAATCTGCCAGACCAGTGTTACCAGTGTAGCCCAAGGGTCCCCAGTCATATAGGAGCCCTGTATCATATTTGTGTGCTTCATGTAATGAAAAATCTGGCCCTCTCGGAAATACTTTTTATATTGAAGCATACTCCACAATTGAAACTTCTAGTGGCTTTCTGCAGGGCCTTTTTAAAATTTCCCTGCATTATCTTTAGAGAACCAGCGCCATTTCAGTCAGTGCTGATACTTCCTGTAGTATACGTGTGAGACAGAGGTCTTGGAGAGAATTTCTAGAAGATTATATGTATGCATTATATGTCTTCCTACCTATTTTCTATTCCTAAAATAGATTTTTAGTTATTTTTTTTCTGAACTGTATTTCTTGAATAGTTCCAGGTCTTCTCCCAGAAATTAGAAGTTGGTTGAGTTCTCGTGCTTCATTTAAGACAATGTATTTTCTTTCTTTAAGGTCGAGTTGGACAGGCGGTTGCTCTGCGTGCCAAACCCTTTGGATTCAATGTGGTTTTCTATGATCCGTATCTACCTGATGGAGTGGAGCGTTCCCTGGGCTTGCAGCGAATGGCTACTTTGCAAGATCTGCTGATACACAGTGACTGCATCACATTGCACTGCAGCCTGAATGAGCACAATCACCACCTCATCAACGACTTTACCATTAAACAGGTGCAGCCTTGCATTTTGCTGGGAACAGAAGTTGCTGCTGTGAAAGTTTCATGAAAGTTGGATCGATGTGGATCTGGTTCTTGCATTTCTGTTGAGCATGATTTTTTGTGGAATATAGGAACAGATGGATTCTGTTGTTGGAAATCATGTGTAATTTAATTTTAGATTCCAGCCTATATGTGCCAGTAATATCAAAAGCAACGAAAGCAAGATAATGTTTGATTCCTAACAAGTCTAGATCTTTTCATTTTCATGCTTTTGTTAGTTTTCCCACACAGCATTATTTCAAAACTCTCTACCTTTTCAGATATATTCAGTTCTATAGTCTATTGTGAGGCTTTTCTTTTTTCAGTAATGTATGGGCTTCCTTCCATGCTTCTTCTAAATTGTTGCTTTCTATCTGTCCAGTTATTAAGTATTATATCCATTAAAGGCTATGTTCTTGAGGAAAAAGTCATGGTCTGCAGCTAGAGTGAGCCCCCTTCCATACAGCTGAATAAAATCCCACATTTTCTGCTTTGAATTGGAATATGTGGCGGTGTGGACTCAGATAATCTAGTCCAAAGCAGATATTGTGGGATTTTCTGCCTTGATATTCTGAGTTATATGGCTGTGTGGAAGGCCCCACAGTCTGCTTTTTGTCAGTTTGGGCTTTGTTAGCCTCATCTTGATTCTCATCCAAGGCTCATGAGCACTCGAGGATCAGCTTGCTCATTGCCTGTCAGCTCCCCTATCCCCCAAAGATAGAAAGGAAAAGCAGAAAGGATAGCTGTGAGTTTGCTCTGAAACAAAAGTAGGAGAGGCATACATTGGGAGAAACGCTGCCTTCTTGCTGACCTTCCATTGTGTTTTTTCCCCAATTGGGGAGAGGGAATGAATTATCAATTACTATCTTTTAGAATGATGAATTAAATATTGAATACAAGTCCCCCATCCCAAACATTATTTTTAAAGACTATGGGCACATCTGCACTTAATGTGGATTGAGGGTAACTCAAAGATCAGTGTTTAAGTTATGCATGGCACAAATGCACACAGCAAAATGAATTAAAGGCTTTAAACTGGGATTAGCAAAATTTGAGGAATACTCCAAGATAGAGCCTCTAATTCTTATCAGCATGCCTAAGTGTAAAAGCACATCACATGACCAAGGTGATTGAGGGATAGGTGCTCTTGTTCCTATTGCGGAGGAGAATTGTTGAATCAACCCTACCAAATCCTCCATGACTGTGAAGCCGCACATACTGCGGATCTGGGAACTGGGTCGGAGCCGAACTCTCTGGTGCATATAAGCTCCACCCAAGCCTCGACCCAGTTCCATGTTCAAATTGCTTCCTCCTCTACAGATTTCATTCCACCTTAAGTGGTCAGTATAAATATGTCCTACACAGGTAAAGTATATCTAATAATTGCAATTTCTGGTTATGGTATCCTGTTTTTTGTTTGTTTTTATCTTAAGGGAATGAGTGCTTTACATCTGCTTGGAATTATGAAAGACAAGAGAAGACAAAATATCCCCCCCCCTACTTTTCCTCATAAATAGGCAAAAGCAAATGCGTTTATTATAGTTCAGGTGTTCCTTACACCTGAGGACCTTGTAATTCCTTTGTTAACAAAAATAAAATTTAAAAAAGGAGATTCAATTTGTAATTTTCTGGAAAAAATCAAACAAGATACTTTTATGCCAAGCCCAATTTTACGTAGTGTTGTATATTCATAAAGTAATTAATATACAACACATTATCGCAGTTCCCCTATTTCTGAAAGTTTCAGCCTCCTCCAGCACCACCAAGACCAAAAAAAGGTTTTTTTCCTGCATTGTTTCAAAATTTCTGAACATTTCCCATCTATTATTTTAATTTTTGGGTGAAGTTGTCTGAATGTCAGGTGTGCCTTCTAACTGGGAAATGTGCTCTTTCTACTATTATTTCTGAGAAAAACCACAAGAAGTCTTCACGGTTAATCTCTCCATTCTGACAACCCCACACACTTTAAACTATGTACTGTTTTATTTTTCCCAGCATTCCCACACAGCCATTTGGATTCAAGAAAAGTGTTTCATTTCAATACCCCCTTTCTGTACTTTTTGCTTCAGATGCGTCAAGGCTGTTTTTTGGTGAATACAGCTCGTGGAGGACTGGTTGAAGAAAAAGCCCTGGCTCAAGCTCTAAAAGAGGGGAGGATCAGAGGGGCGGCTCTAGATGTGCATGAATCAGAGCCCTTCAGGTAACAACTAGGTTATCATCATGTTATGCTACCATCCTGTCTCAGTTTCCAAATAGGATATTTCTTAAGTCGGTTGGATATTCTAACATGAGCATACTTGTATCTCTACATCACAGCTTTGCAAATGGGCCCCTAAAAGATGCTCCCAATGTGATCTGTACCCCCCACACAGCCTGGTATAGTGAACAGGCTTCCATTGAGTCTAGAGAGGAAGCGGCTAAGGAGATCCGAAGAGCCATCACAGGTAACTGAGAAGACAGATCTACAGTTGCTTCTCAAATTGCTTCCCTGGGACATGTCGATACAATGAGAATGTTCCCCTTAGTGTGTGTATATGTCTCCCTCCTCCCTCCCTCCTTCCTTCCCTCATCCCACCTTCCCCTGATCATGAAAAAAGCCATGAGGAAACTGGTTTTTTTCATGTGCACTTGCTACGTGGAGATGGGGTTTTCAGAAAGAGTCATAATACTTTCTCTCTCCCATCCCCTTTTAGATCTTTAACCAGAGCTTCTTTTTGTGCTAATAGAATGTCATAGGCTCAATTGAGGAGGCCCATCATTCAATATCCAGTCCATTGGTTGGAGGTTGTTCAGTACTGATTTGCACTTTACACTTACCATTTAGTGTTTTTTGATGATATCTGTGTATAGATTTGTACTTTTGAGAATTTTTCTCAATTGGATTTGTGTATATCATAGTTGGGTACTTAGTATCTCCTGTTAAAGAGACCCCTCCACATAAATCTTCTGCCATGAAGCAAATAATCATTTCTTATTATTACGGGTTATTGTGTAATTTTGTGTGTAATTTTTGAGCACCCTTCAGTCCTGTGATAACAGGCATTAGTAAATATCTCCCTTTCTGGCTTGCCTCTGGTGTTAATATACTTCTGTGTTTCTTTTCTTTGCCATAGGTACCATACCCGACTCTTTGAGGAACTGTGTTAATAAGGAGTACTTACTTTTGGCAGCTCAGTGGTCCAGTATTGATCCTGCAGCCGTTCATCCAGAACTTAATGGAGCTGCAGCTTACAGGTAAGAAGTTGTGCATTCTTGCCAACAATTTTTGTGGTTTATGTATCCAAACCCTACTTTTCTGAACATAGTCCTTTTCTCTGGCACTGTAGTCTGTCTGTATTCCCTCCCCTACCTGCATTATTTATTTATTTACCATGTTTCAGAATTGCTTCCCAGCCTGCAAAGGCTCCTGAGACAATGAGCATAAACCCCAATTAAAACAAAACAAAGATAAGAAAATTTAAAACACATTAAAATATTATTTGAAAAGTCCTTAAAATAGTCTGCATTTGATAACACATCATCATCATTCTGCTATTCTCTCAGGATTGAGATCTAAAGACTCACAATCTTAAAAGCAATAGAAATTAAAACCTATAAAATGGTGGTTCTCAACCTTCCTAATGCCACAACCCCTTGATATAGTTCCTAATGTTGTGGTGACCCCCAACCATAAAATTATTTTCATTGCTACTTCACAACTAATTTTGCTACTGTTATGAATTGTAATGTAAATATCTGATATGCGGGATGTATTTTCATTCACTTGACCAAATTTGGCACAAATACCCAATAAGCCCAAATTTGAGTACTGGTGGGGGAAGAATTTTGTCATTTGGGCATTGTAGTTGCTGGCATTTATTGTCAACTTACAATCAAAGAGCGTTCTGAACTCCATCAACAATGGAATTGAACTAAGCTTGGCACACAGACCTCTCATGACCAACAGAAAATATTGGAAGGGTTTGGTGAGCAATGACCTCAAGTTTGGGAGTTGTAGTTCACCTACCTCCAGAGAGCACTGTGGACTCAAGCAATGATAGATCCGGACCAAACTTAGCATGGATACTCAATATGCCCAAATGTGAAGACTGTTGGAGTTTGAGAAAAATAGACTTTGATATTTGAGAGTTGTAGTTGCTGGGATTTATAGTTCACCTACACTCAAAGAGCATTCTGAACCCCACTGATAGAGTTGGGTCAGACTTCCCACACAAAATCCCCATGACCAATGAAATATACTGTGTTTTGTGATGGTCTTTGGTGACCCCTCTGACACCCCCTCGTGACCCCCCCAGGGGTCCCGACCCCCAGGTTGAGAAACTGCTATAAAATATACATATTAAAATAGAATGAAACACACAATTATTAAAATGATTCAGTTAAAATCACATTAAGACAGTTGCACTTACAGCAATTTTAGCATGAAGCTTTGCTCATGTCATTTACACCAATCATCACTGCTTAATTTCTGGGGGTCTTAATACCATGCTAGGAAGCATATATTTATTTATTTATTTATTTATTTACTCTATTTGTATACCGCATATATCAGCCTGAGGCGGCGACTCAATGCGGTTTACAATAAAAACAACACTAAACAATGTATGAGACACACAATACAGACAAACACATAATCATCAACGCCACACTTAGAATCAGATTCCGATCTCAAAATCCTTTTTCCATTCCTTGTCCGATGCCGTCATTATTGAGTTAATTGCCAAAAGCCTGCTCGTAGAGCCACGTCTTCACCCTTCTCCGAAACGCCAGCAACGAAGGTGCCTGCCTGATGTCTACCGGTAAGGCATTCCATAGCCGAGGGGCCACCACTGAGAAGGCCCTGTCTCTCGTCTGCCAGCCGCACTTGTGACGCCGGCGGAACCGAGAGCAGGGCCTCCCCGGAAGATCTTAACGCTCTTCCCGGTTCGTAGGAAGAGATGCGTTCGGAGAGGTAAGTGGGGCCGGAACCGTGTAGGGCTTTATAGGCTAAAGCCAGCACCTTAAATTGTGCCCGGAATATACAATGGAACCTTTAAGGCAGTACTTACCCAAGGTATCTGTAATCACCATGTGTTTTGTTTTTGTTACAGGTTTGCTCCAGGAGTAGTGGGAGTAGCAAACCCTGGGCTGCCAGAACCACCAGTAGAGGGGATGGTACCTCATGGCATTCCCTCCGTGTCTCATTCTGCACCACATACTCCTTCTCCAGGAGAGTCAAGCAAATTGGAGCCAGACAGAGAAGTCTCCGCTGACCAGTAGCATCTCTTTTTCATCCCTTATACAAAAACAGGAGTGGCCTCCTGTTTTAGGACATATTGTGACCCCTTGGACTGTTTCCTGTTCACTCTGGACAGGAGAATGCATTTCATTGTTGGCAAATTTCTAGCTCTTGCCTTTAAGCAGGTATTTTATAACAGATTGGGTTTGAATCTCTTGGTGAATCTCTTTCCCTGTCTGGGGCAATGAATGTTCATCCTCTTGGTAACATTTATTTTAACAAACAAGTCCAGTCCCCATGCACATGTCTCCATGGGTGGTATATGCAGTAGAACAGTACCTGGCTGAATACTGAGAACTCCAGTAAGTCCAAAGCTGGCATGGATTATTTTAAAATGACTTCTAAGGTGGATGGTCAGCTAAGTCTCAGGTATAGGTGACAAAGAACGCTGTAGCTATGCTGAGGGTGGCGAGCCACACGTGGGTTGTTTGGAAAGAAGAAAGGCAGTCCTTGCTCAGGTATGGGCACCTACTGCTTTGTTCCTGCCTATGTGCTATTAATTGATATGGCTGCCGGGTTATTTTTTGCAAGGAAAGTAAGCATAATTTTTTTTTATAAAAGCAAGAATGAATTAGAAATTCTGCCAGGAATTGTGATTTATGTTCAGAGCATGTACTGAGAATCAGGTGAATTGTCTCAGCATACAAGATGCTTACAAAATTGTAGGAAAGTTCAACTGAGATTTGGGCCCAGCTCAGGGATTGAGAGCTCAGCTCATTCTGGAGAGGTAGAACAAATATCAGAACTCTGCACTTCAGGTTATATCCTTTGCACACAAATAGTGCGAATTTGCTACAATTCAGATCAAGCTGAAATCCTAGGATTTAACATAATCTCTTTGACCGATCTCGTAAAAGGCCAAGGTTAGGATTGTTCCCTATGACATTGTCTAGTGTGAAATATCCCAGGTGTGTGTGCTGAATTGTCATGTTCCTTACCTCTGCCCTTTTCTATGAATTGAGTCCTTGTCAACTCGGCAAAACTCCTTGTTTAATCCTGCAGATAGTCACATAGGTTCTTTTTCAAAAAAGAAAATAGATGGCCTATTTTGTGGTAGTTTCTAAAGTTTTTTTCTAATTTGGATGTGTTTTAAACCAGGCATTTAATATTTTTTTTAGAGACAGAAGTAGGATGGTGATTTTTTTTTTCCACTGAGGGGCAAATTGATTCTTCCCTGGAACATAATCCTAGCAGCATATATTTCATCATGAAATGAAATATTTATTCCTGTTGGAAAGTCGCCTTGTCGTGTTGCTTGGACTTCACAGTAATTTTTGACCATGAAATCAATATGGTTTTTAACCAATATATGTAAGAATACAGGCAAAAGAAGAATTTTGGCATGAAGAATGGGAATTCTTTTTTCTGAGTAGAATCCACTTTTTCTTTTCTTTTTCCAAATGAAGATATCAGCCAAGTACCTTAGAAAATGGGTGGTAAGCACTTATATTATGTGTTTGCTGCTAAAGTTAATAATAGGTTGGCGCGTTTCCAAGCTTCCTGTTATTCTCCAAACAGTCTTACAACCGTTTTCAGGATTTGGTCCAATGCAAAGCACTGACAGATATATGCACCCTTTAAACCTAGAAAAGGAGTCATACAACCCTCCAAATATTGTTGGACTGCATCCTCTGGCATTTGTCAGCATTGGCTAAACTGGCTAAAGTTGCTGGGACTTGTAGTCCACCAATATCTGAAAGTGGAATGATTCCCATTCCTGCTTTAAAGTGAGTCAAGTGTTGAGGAAGAACTCTTTTTAAAATTATGCAGGTTAGATTCTTTCCTTAAGATGATACATGGTTCCCTGATAGTGTGTTTTTTTGTTAGAATGTGAGTTGGAAGTGTTTGGTGTGGTGTAGGCTCTGGTAGTATGGGAGGCACAACAGCTTTATAATCTCTTGGATGATTATGACTATTTAAAATTTACATACCTCTTGGGTTGCTCAGGGTTTTTAATAATATGTGCATGAGGGGCACACTAACAGACGTTAGTGCCAAGTATGGCGGTAAATATGTGGGAAGCCTTTGAGTGAAGCCTCCAACTCTAAAGAGCTTGAATTAGGGGGGGAAGTAACAACTTGAGTTTTGTTTGTTTGTTTCTAATTTAGTCTGTGGACTTAATGTACTCTAACTGTTCTAAATCTGTCATTTCTGTTGTTGCAGGCACATAATAATGCTAGATCCTCAAAAAGTTAAAGGATTAGGAATGGTCTGTGGAGAATCATGGGCTTCCAGCTCTAGCCTCTCTCTTTGGATGTGAATTTCCCATATTCCCTGATTTCAAAATTTAGTTCATACCTGCTTTAATAAGGATTAATATTGGTCAGATTGAAGTCTAAATCAGAGCAAAGAGGCAAACAGGGTGAGTCTGTGAGAGAAAATACAGCATTTCATCCCATATCCTCCTACTCCTCTGTTAGCCCTACTCAAGGTTCTGCATTATATTATGTCTGCACCAGACCTCAAAAAGTGATGCTGTGTAGTAGGTAAGCTAGCCAGCTGTACGTGGGCTACATTTATTACCTTTGTAAGCCATGTATTGAGGGAAACACTTAATCTACAGCACATTTAACACATTTTTCATGCACTCCAGATGGCTGTAACATTAAGTGCTTCTTCAGAGGGCCATTCAAGTCTTCGCGTATTTCTTTGCCAGTTCTCATCTCATTGCACTCAAATTCTGATACATAACAGAAACTATCTAAAGTAAAGGTAACTGGTACCTTTTGTGCCATTGGCCAATGAATCCACATCAAGTTTTAATCTGATAATTTAAATAAACTATCCAAAGTGTTGAGCTTGATTCCCAAAATAGTTTAAACACCATGGGTAGCTCCATGGTCTCAATCCCAGAACAGATTAATCTTCCCACTGACACTGAAACCACCAGTCTCTTATCCCATTGGATAACTATATTCGTCTGTTGTGACAAATACAACAAAAGATTGTGACATCTTCAAAGAATGATGTATTTGTTATGGCAGTAGCTTTCATATAAGAGGGCCCATTTCATCAGATATATGAAGTATAATCCTAAAATGATAAGTGTGTATAAACACTTTAGGATTCCTGTACTTGATAAAGATGTTGCTACTCCACAGAAATGTATGTTTTCGACTTTATGATGCCACAACAGTCTTCATTCATAATGAGTAATATCAATGTTTACATATACATTTATGCTTCTAATCCTTTTTTCATAATCTGTGGTTTGTTTAGCTGTGACTGAGATGGCAAGGAAATCCACAATGAGAGGGTATGAAAACTGGGTTTAATGACACAGAACTTAGGAAGCAACAGCTCTGAAGAGCAGATGAGTGTAGAGGTCTTCGTTTTAATTTTTTTATACATGGCTAAAATGGATTTTATATTGTGATACTGGTTACATACTGACCTTCGTATGAGGAAGTATGCTTCTCTACTAAACATGGGACCCTGCTATACTAGAAGATATTGACGTGTTCCACTGGCATCTTGCAAACTAATTTACTTATTCAATGTGTTAAAACTGGCTCCTCAGTTTGGCAACCATGGGTTGAGTATTTGTTCTGAAAAGAATTTATACAGTGATTTCTGCAGTGTCATATTGTATGGTAAGCAGAGTACATCAGCAATTTCTTTTTTTGAACTTGCCTTTGGCAGTTCCTATTTTCAGTTTATAAGATTTCTGATCCAGGTCCCCAATTGTCAGAATGACCACACTCTGTTACATTGCCTGTTCAGGGAGTAAAATATGCTTAATTAAAAGTGGCAGCCGTATATTAGTAAGCAAGTTAATTTTTACACATGAATACCTCTAAAAACTTTTCAGGTATAACCTCCATCTGGAGAGAAATTGGAAAAGGTCCCAGCTGGCTAGCACTGAGCCTCTCCTTTAGAAACCAGACTGGTTGGCGTATAAAAACATATACAGTATATAAATATATTTAACAATGGTAGAGTTGTATCAGTCTCTGAATGCTGAAGAAGCATAGTTTAAGCCTTAAGACCTCAAAAATAACCAGTATTACTGACCTACATTTGGGATTAACATTATTTTGAAATTACCAGAGTGGCTTTACTTGAGGGTCTTGATCAGATTTGAGACTCTTTAGTTAATCTGGCTTCTACACTGGAGAGCAGGTGTAGCCAAGTGTTGATAAAAGTGCTCTGGATGCACGTCATGGTGTATTGCTAGTTAGGAAGCAGAAAATCTTGAGCATAAATGCAAACATATTTCTCTTCTGACACCAGATATTAATTCAGTAATCCTTTTCTCACATTACATAAATGTGCAACTCCTCGTTCCAAATTTTATGGATGTTGGGAAAAGAGAGAGAGAGAAATAAAAAGATATGTTTCAATTGCCTTCCTTCAGAAGTTATGTGGAGCTTAATCCCAAAGAACAACTTTCCCAATGTTTGAGGCAGGAGTGTCCTGGGTCATGCCAAGCTTATCTGCAGGAGGAGCTCACTCTGTCCTAAGGTATATTCTGCTTGTCAGGTTTGCTGTTGCTGACCAGCTTTTTTAAATAGAGGACTCAGAGTTTCAGAAATATATTTTTGTAGACAATAACTAAACTGTGAAACTTAAACAACAAAGCATGTAAAAGCATTTCCAACATTGTTTCCTGTACAGATGTTTCTCCCTTCCAACTCTCTCCTGGCTTTTGTTAGAAGTATGACAATTTCTTGAATATATTTTAATAAATATTTCCTTTATGGTCACGAGTCTCCTCATTTCAAAATGTTACTTTATTTGGCTAGCATTTATGGAATCTATAAACTTGTTTTTGCCCATCTCTTCTGTTGGTACAGCTAATATGTTTCATCCCAAAAAATAAGAACCTTGATCAATTTAGATGGGGTGTAGAGCTCAGTTGAGGTCATGATGAAAGCTATACAAAATCTTAATATCTAAGGTATGCCACTAAACTATTACCCATTGTCAGTGTTCACAAGGGAACTGAGTACTAACTGCAGTCTTTTAAATGAAGGCATTTCTATATTTGGTGACGGGGTGGCTATCTGTTGAGGGTGCCTTGATTGTGTGCATAGCAGGGGGTTGGACTGGGTGGCCCACATGGTCTTTTCCAACTCTAGGGTTGTCTTGATAGCATTGCCTTTCAGTGTGGATTACCTGGGTTGCACACACTCAGAAGGGTTTGTGGTTTTCCTGTCTTGTGAGCTTCCCAAGGGCAGTCAGTAGCCTCTGGAGTGGGGAGGGTCATGGGGCGCATTTACACCAGAGGTTCCCAACCTGTGGTCCCCAAGAACGAAAATATGGTCTGCAGCCTCACCATTACTACACCATTGCCTTGAAACCATATGGCAACGAGAGCGACTGGTCTCATGAAACCCTCTTATAGTGCCGAGGCAATGGGGATGTCGGGAGGGGGGAGGCTGACTACTCACAAAAAATTATTATCACATCAGCTCTAGATTATTATATGGTTTTCTGTGGGTGAGCAGATGGCGACTACTGGATGGCATATGTTCTGTTATCAGAAACTAGAGCTGATGTGATCTATCCAATGCAATTTTCTAAAGTTGGCCAAAAACTGATTCGTAACCCTTTTGGTACTAATGTTGGTCAAAAAAAGGTTGGGAACCACAGATCTACACTGTGGAATTAATGCAGTTTGACACCACTTTAACTATCATGGCTGGATGCTAAGGAATCCTGGAAGCTGTAATTTTTGGTGCACCAATGCTCTTCAGTTGTTGTTCATTTGTTCAGTCGCTTCCGACTCTGTGACCTCATGGACCAGCCCACGCCAGAGCTCCCTGTCAGCCATCACCACTCTCAGCTCCTTCAAAGTCAAGCCAGTCACTTCAAGGATCCCATCCATCCATCTTGCCCTTGGTCGGCCCCTCTTCCTTTTTCCTTCCATTTTCCCTAGCACCACTGTCTTCTCTAAGCTTTCCTGTCTTCTCATTATGTGGCCAAAGTACTTCATCTTTGCTCCTAATATCCTTCCCTCCAATGAGCAGTCGGCCTTTATTTCCTGGAATATGGACTGCTTGGATCTTTTCGCTGTCCAAGGCACTCTCAGAACTTTCCTCCAACACCACAGTGCAAAAGCTATCTTCCTTCGCTCAGCCTTCTGCAGAACACCTCATGCGATATGCGGGACTTGATGAATGCTCAGTGAGAGTATGATAGCTGGGTCGTGAGAGTATGATAGCTGGGTCCGGAAGCTCCGAGTGTTACGCGCATTCCGCAACAGTGGTTGTGAATAAGAGAAGGGGAGGGCGGGGATATTCTTCAATTTAGTGGAAGGATAGAAAGGAGGGGAGGGTTAGGATAAAGTTTAGGATAAGGTTTAGGGTTTGCGGTAGGGTAAGGGTTAGTATTAGAATTAGGTTTAGGGGCTAGGGTTAGGGTAAAGTTTTGGGTTTGCATTAGGATTAGAGTTTGGGTTAGGATTAGGGTTAAGGGTTAGGTTTAGGGTTCGGGTTAGGGTTTTACCATTAAAGAATTCTTACATTCTGTGACGATGTGTAAGTTTTATTCTTTGGTTATGTGTAGTTTGGACAGTGGTTTAGGGATGGTAAGTATGGGAGATTATATTTTGTTAGAGATGGTGGCTAGTGGCTTGAGCTGAGTTGCCATAGCAACGGGGGCAGAGCCAACTATCACTTCACGGCGCAGCTTTTTGAAAGTGGCAGTCTGTGGTCGGTGAGCTACAGGAAGGGATTGATTTCTCTAGTGGGAGAAACAGGGAATTAGTACGCCAGCGAGCTACTGAGTGAACTGAATCTTTTGGTGGAGATTCAGGGAATGTGTCTGTAGCCAGTGTGCTATAGGGAAAGACTGAATCTCTTGGTGGAGATTCAGAGAATCAATTGGTGACCAAGTGGTTGCAGAGAAGGACCCGGTACAGGGGGTTGTTGATTCTGAATTAAGAATCAAGGTTTGGCTGGGTTTAAGCCTGTTGTGCCAGCTGTGAAACCTTATGAAGTGTTTGCCTGAGTTTACTCTTGAAACCTTTTCAATGTATCCATCAAGATTTGTGCCTCTTTTGAAGAACAGTTATACATTGTTATACTCCTGTTAAAATAAACTTGTTACTGTTTTCCTCAAGCCTTGCCTGATACAGTTGCTCCTAAGTTGAACAGCCTACAATAATAAAGTCAAGCCAAGAAAGTAAACGCTACGCTATCAAGTGAATAAAGCCTTCTGTAATTAACAGTCCCTTTATAAAATAGCTCCTAGGTTGATATTGATCGTTGCCCGGCTTCCCTCATAGATTAGGTGGCAGTGGGTGCTTTACCACTCGCACCTTCACAATTGGTGGCATTCGGTGGCATTAAAACGGTCATCGTTACAATTGGTGGCAGCAGTTTAACGACTCCTTTACACATTCCTTCTATAATATCTGTGTACGGTTTTGTGTTGCGCAAATAGCACTCCCGGAGGAGCAAAGCGGAAAGAGCGTAAGGCTCAGAGCTTCCGGACCCAGCTTTCATACTCAGGGCTGTAGCCAGAAAAATTGGGGGGGGGGGGGGGTGTTGAAACCTGCCTCCTAGCTCAAGCTGAAGCAAAGAGCACAGCAGGGGGCAGAGCTGCCTTCAATAGCCTGCAACTCTGCCCCTGTCAACCACCTCCACCAAGTCTGGCCTCCTTAATGACAGCATTCAACACCCCCCCCCAACTTGGTTGCTTCACTACATCGGCTATTGCTGCAAGTAATGACAGTGTGAATAAATTGTCAATATTTGCTTGAGATAGTGCTTGCAGTTCTGGAGGGACTCTTAATTTTTTGTGTCTCATAGACTTAGCATGGGGATTTGGTTAACCAGTTAAAATTCATGAGTAAACCAGGTTTTTTTTTTAACCTGAAAAATTGCGGGGGGGGGGTGTTGAACCCCTCAACCCTCCCCCTGGTTACAGGCCTGTTCATACTATTATCGAATGCTCTTCAGTAGAGTAGGCTAAAGACCTTAGAATAAAACTACAGCTCCCAGGATTCCACCGCGGTTTTTGTTTTTTTTCCTGTCAGGAGCGTCTTGAGAAACTGCAAGTCGCTTTCGGTGTGAGAGAATTGGCCTTCTGCAAGGCCGTTCCCCAGGGGATGGCTGATGTTTTACCATCCATGTGGGAGGCTTCTCTCGTGTCCCGGGCAGTAAGCCTGGCAGGTACAAGTGCGGTCAACCTGCATCCATTCTCCTCCAGCACAGAGGCGTCCCTGGGCGAAGCAGGCCTGCTTTCCTGGCCGCTCTTGATTGAGGCGGAGAAGGCGACACTCTCCGGCGCCCCCTACCGGCGCTCAGGGCAAAAGCGCAAGGGCTGCTGCTGCTGCTGCTGCGGTGCATGCCGGGAAGTAAATAAATAGAAGCCCGCGCGAGGCATGCCGGGCCGCCAAACACGGGAGGTTCTGGCTGGCCGGATGACTGGTTGGCGCGGGGCACGCCGGGATCGGAGAGGAGGTTGGCGCGGGGCAGGCCGGGAGTAGCGGGGCGGGCCGTGGTTCGGGGGCCCCAGCGCAGGGCTTGTGGGTCGGCCGTTTGAGGCGGCGGCGGTTGGGCTCTTCCTCCTCCTCCTGCGGCTGCTGCTGCTTCCCGGGGGGGATGGCGGACGCGGCGGCCTCCCCGGTGGGGAAGCGCCTCTTGCTGTTGTTGGCGGCCGGGCCTGGCGAGGGAGAGGGCGAGGCGGCGGCGCCGGGAGCGGGGCCGGGGCCTGGTTCTGGGCCTGCGCTGCCCTCCCGGGCCTGGAGGAGCGGCACCGTCAGGGCCATGAGCGGGGCTGTGCCTCAGGAGTTAGCGGTGAGTCCGACCGGGTGAGAGGGAGGGAGAGACAGAGCAGGGCCGCTCTCCCTGTCTCTTTGGGGAGGTGGCGGGGCTCCTGCTTGGGCTCGGGAGGGGGGGAGGGGCCCCTCTGCTCTTTGGCCAGGAGGGGGGGCTCATCCTCCGCCTCCCCCTCCTCCACAGAGGCTCTCCCTCCGCGCCTCGCCTCGCTTGATCTCGGATTTCAGGCGCTCCATTTTGGCGACCTTCGTCCCTTCCGTTGCAAAACCATTCCGTTTTGTCCGCTGACCTCGCTGTAGTTTCAACAGTGGGGCCTCCTCCTCCTGCTGTTTCTGCTGCTGCCTTGGGAGTGTGGCGCCTCTTCCAAGAGCTCCCGCTTTGGGGAGCTGGGGTTCCCGGGTTTCAGCTGGACGGAAGTTATTGTCCTTGGGAAGGAAGTCTTTGTCTTGGCGAGCAGTGCTCTCGCCGAGAGGAGCACGGTTCTGGCCTTGTCTGCAAAGAACTTCCTGGTCCGCCTTGTCGTGGGGAAGCAGCCCTGGGCAATATGGCCACTTGAACCATTTTCTTAGGCTGGGACGAGGCTGCCGTGTAAGGCACTTTGAAATTGCATTACGTGAACCTGCTGCACTGACCATATAATACAGTTTCAAAGCGCCTTTTTCGGCAGCGTGGGTGCAGCCTTGGTGTGCCTTGAATGGAAAACGCAACTGTGTAACCTCAAATGAAGATGGGAACGAGGGGTGTCTTTGTGTTCGCGCTTGGTTGTGCCCACCATTTTTTAAAAACTGCAATACATAGTTTCAGTTGAAGCAGAGATGGACCTTGGGCGTCCCTCCAGTGTTTTTTCTGTAATCAGCACATTGTGTGTACAAATAGTTATTGCTTTCTAAGATTAAAGATCCTTTATGACTTCTCATTCAATTTTAGACAGTGGAAAGTAGGAATCTGAAAATACTATGTTTTTGAAAATGGGTTTTCCCTCGTGTCAGAAGTGATTTGAAAATGGTAATCTGGCTAGTCACAGAAACACATGCGATGTGTCCAAGAAGTTGGTATAAATTAATAATAGTAGTAGTAGTGATAATAATAAAACACTGTATATTCCGCTTTATCTCCCTGGAGAGACTTGCAGATTACAGTATACAGATATAAGGCAAACATTTAATGCCTTTTACATAGTGAACAACAACATACAATACATAGAAAAAGGTAAAGACCTAAAAAACCAGTTGGGCTGCAGTTGTAATGCAGATCTACATTTTTTAAATTTTTAACTAGCCCTAGATCATTTTTTTCTCAAAAGGAAGAATGAGAAGGCCAGATAAGTAACTTATCCAAGAAACTGACTATCAGTAAAAATAGTGCACAGAGAACTCCATCCTTCAAAAACTCCACATACTCATATTCAGAGGACACAGAATCTTCTCCAAGGGGAGTAAAGCAAATCCCAATCCCTCAAATTAACATCAAAAATATATACACACACACCCCACTGTTCTCATTATTCCCTCAAGTTGACATCCCCCTCCTTTTTGGAAAAAAAGCATTTCAGCAAAATGCAGGCTTCAGCTTTCTCCCTTTCTTTTTCTAATGAGATCTCTGGGGAAAGCCAGTGGAGAGGAGATGACTAGATATCTAAAAATGTAAGCTTACCTACAAAAGGCTCAAAAATAAACATACAAATATTTTTATTTTAAAAATAAAAAGGTAAACAGGAGAGTCAACACGCCTTCAAGATGGAGGCAGATCTTAGGTGTGTATTTCATGGGCACTGTGTTGAAGTGTTTGGCTGTAGATCGACTACAATTGATAATTTTAATTATGGAGTATAAGGGAACTGAGCGGGAATGAGGAAGTGTAGTGTTACAGCTTACTTGGGCTGATACTGTCCCATGCATAAGTGATTATGTGAGTAGAATTTTGCAGTAACTTATATGTACAAATGACATGCAATTGAAGTTGAGTTAAATAGTATGCAGATGTACCTCAGTTAACAAAGTAATTGTGTTCCATGTTTTTAAATAGAATTGATCTATAAGTTTAACTCCCAAAATAGAAATTGTAAAAAAAGTAGAAGCCATTCAAAGAAAAAAAAATCATTCTGATATGTATTTTGGAAGACAGTTCAAGTGGTCTCCTGAAAATACACAATATTTTTGTTTATTTATGCAAGTCTTACATGGCCTGGTTTCTTCATCTCACATGTACGTTTTGTACATTTTGAATACAAGGTTTCCTCAAGCATGTTCATGTTCTTATTGATGCAGTAGCCTATCTCTATTCTTTCCATATTGTTTATACATCTGGTATGAAGATTTCTGTTCAAAAGACCAGGCATGCATCTACTTCATTACTTGAGGTATATAGGCAGCCCTCTGTATCCATGGATTCTGTGTCCACGTTTTCCAGCATCCATGACTTGAATTTTATTTTTTAACTAGCTTGGGTACCCGACGTTGCCCGAGTTATTAGAAGAAGTCATTTTTTATTTTACAAAAAGGATAAGATTGTGGGTGTACTACAACTCGAATCATTCCAGATTTGCCCCCTGAAACTCCATTTTGTCATAGTGGGCAAGTTTGCTCGAGATGCATTATCGGTGGAGTTCAATATTCTCTCCAGCTGCAGGATGAATTACAACTCCTACCATGGTGGGTCAGTCCCGTCAAATCCCTCCAGTATGTTCAGGTGGCCATGGGTGTTCTGCGTGCTAAGTTAGGTCCGGGTCCATCATCGGTGGGGTATAGAGTGCTCTTTGATTGCAGGTGAACTATAAATCCCAGAACCTACAACTAACAAATGTCAAGGTCAATTCCCCACAAAACCCACCAGTATTCAAAATTTGGCATATCGGGTATGTGTGCCAAATTTGGTGCAGATCCATCGTTATTTGTGTTCACAGTGCTCTCTGGGTGTAGGTGAAATATAATTCCTATAAATTAAATTGAATTTTCCCCAAAGTCCTCCTGTATTTTTGTTAGATATGGGAGTTCTGTGAGCTAAGTTAGGTCCAGAGCCATTGTTGATGGGGTTCAGACTACTCTTTAATTGCAAGTGAACAATAAATCCCAGTACCTACAGCGGCTATAAATCAAGGTGAATTCCTCCCAAACCTCTCCAGTATTTGTCTTTGGGGGTTCTTTGTGCCAAATGTGGTCCAGGTCCGTTGTCAGTGGGAAATCACAGTGCTCTCTGACTTGATGCAGGGTGAACTACAACTTACATCACAGGGAGTCAGTACCCCAAACATCTCCAGTATCTTTAGATGTTTAGTTGCTGATTAGTTCTGTTCTGTTTGTTGTGCAGACAGAGTTGAAAAGAGTAGGAAAGGGTTAAGGGAGAGGTAGTGGACGGAATCATGCAAGTTCCACACGAATGGCGAGAAAAAGAAACACTGGGATGTCTGTGGTGGAGGAAACACATACAATCTAGGATGAAATTGACCCCAAATGAAAGCATTCCTTGGGTGGTGGGCAGTATGATGTTTGGGGAGGACATTGGCAGGGGTTGGACTACATGTTCATGGTTCTCTCTATAACCTGAAATGTCATTGGAGGGAGGACTTTTGGTGACTCCTCCGCACTGTGGGTTAAAGCTGTTTGTGGAAGTGGGAAGTGGGAGCTGTTTGTGGAAGTGGACACTCTAGCCACATCTAGAAGTACATATTTTCACTTTTATTATGTTTATAGATTTCCAAAAGCAAACCTTGATTTCACCATTTGATGACACAATTATATGTAATGAGACTTGAGTATCCAGAGATTTTAGTATTCTTGAAGGATCTTAAAAACAAACCCCAACAGTCATGAAGGGCTCTCTGTATGTGCAGTTCCACAAGCTAGATCTTGGAAAGTAGTGAAAAGAGATCTGAAAGTATTTGAATTTTCTGGGCATACATTAGGCATGTGTGAATTGGATAAAACACATGGGGTTTGTTCCCAAATTGATTGGCTGTTACTAATCCAAAAGAATGACCATCTCTGATGTGAACTGGTACTTAAAGGTACTCAGTACAGTATAAACCTTTTTGGTTTAACTGCATAAGGCTAAACTGACCTTGAGCTGTCTTATGGAGACTTGCTTTGTGATTTAAAGGTCTCTTGAATTCTTATGCTATTTATTGATATTGATAGATAGTAGATTTAAAACAGCATTTACTGTTCTTCCCCTATTCACAGACTAGCTTTTAGACTGGCTTTCTGTTTTTAGAAGGAAAAGTGGGACTAGAACAACCATTGTTTTGTCTCAGCGTGTCAGTTCATATTGATGCCACTTTGTATTTGTTCTAACTAGTAAATAGAAGCCTGACACCTCTGTGTCATTGGCTAGCTTTTCTAATTCCTTTGCCTGGCTGATTATGAATGGAACAATAACTTCCATTTAGGGAAGATATAACATAAACGTTAGGAATAATAACAATAGTGCTGCCATTTTATCATAAAAAGTAGTTTGATGGATGTATTATTTTGGGCAGGGATTTTAAATAACTTTGGTTTTTTATTATTTATTTATATCCCGCTTTATCTCTTCATACAGAGACTCAAAGCGGCTCACAGTCAAAAACATTCCAACTTAAAAAATATACAATAATAAAGTCGTCTATCATTATATATTATGTGTTACCAGTAGTATTATATTTAATATATTTGTATTATTAAATTACATTATTATATATTATGATATTGTAATATTAGTATTATATTATATTATATAGGAGCCCCTGGTGGCGCAGTGGGTTAAACCTCTGTGCCGGCAGGACTGAAGACTGACAGGTCATAGGTTCGAATCCGGAGAGAGGCAGATGAGCTCCCTCTATCAGCTCCAGCTCCTCATGCAGGGACATGAGAGAAGCCTCCCACAAGGATGATAAAACATCAAATCATCCGGCATGCCTCGTGCAGGCTTCTATTTATTTACTTCCCGGCATGCACCGCAGCAGCCCTTGCACTTTTGCCCTGAGCGCCTCGCCTCAATCAAGAGTGGCCAGGAAAGCAGGCCTGCTTCGCCCAGGGACGCCT